CAGTGGCTCATTACTTTGTAATTTGTTCATGATTGTAACCATGTATATAAGTATAGATGATTCATTACCTTTGTAACTTGCCATGATTGTGACCAGATCTACCTGGAGTTCATTACCTTTGTAAATAGTTCAGCTATCATAACTTTGGGGTCCAGTCCCTGGACCCATTATGTACCTCTGTACTCTTTTGACTACCGCCCACGGGATGGGTATAAGAACAAAAGAACATAAAAAAGGAGGAACACGGCAACAGGCCTGTTGGCCCATACTAGGCAGGTCTTTCACAATCCATCTCACTAACAGAATATTTGCTCAGCCCAGTTTTCAATTCTACCCAAGCAATAAGCTTTGATAATTCTATTTACTCATGTGCAAGTCCCACTCAAATCCAACCCCTCTCATGTATTTATCCAACCAAAATTTGAAACTACCCAAAGTCCTAGCCTCAATAACCCAACTAGGTAGACTGTTCCACTCATCAACTACCCTATTTCCAAACCAATACTTTCCTATATCCTTTTTAAATCTAAACTTGTCTAATTTGAATCCATTACTGCGAGTTCTCTCTTGGAGAGATATCCTCAAGACCTTATTAATATCCCCTTTATTAATACCTATCTTCCACTTATACACTTCGATCTTGTCTCCCTCATTCTTCGTCTAACAAGTGAATGTAATTTAAGGGACTTCAATCTTTCTTCATAAGGAAGATTTCTAATATTATGTATTAATTTAGTCATTCTACGCTGAATGTTTTCTAACGGATTTATGTCCATTCTGTAATATGGAGACCAGAACTGAGCTGCATAATCTAGGAGAGGCCTTACTAATGATGTATAAAGCTGTAATATAACCTCTGAACTTCTGTTGCTTACCTTTATGATCATTTTACATACATTAGTACAAGTTCTTTATTTAATTGGCACCCCTGTCTAATATATAAATATATATATATATATATATATATATATATATATATATATATATATATATATATATATATAATATATATATATATATATATATATAATATATATAATATATATATATATATATATGCAAAACAACCACTGTGAAAGAATAGAGAAGTTCCAAGCGCTTTCGTGACTACTCGCATTAACAAGGAACATTGTTCCTTGATGTGAGTAGTCACGAAAGCGCTTGGAACTTCTCTATTCTTTCACAGTGGTTGTTTTGCATATTCTGAAATCACCTGTTTACTGTGATCTTATTGTGTATATATATATATATATATATATATATATATATATATATATATATATATATATATATATATATATATATATATATATATATATATATATATATATTGTTCCTAAATAAAAAAATATAATCCTCTATCAAAAAAAGGAAATTGAAGATGGGAATGTTATGTAGTGACCATAGTACCAGGGCAAAAAAAACAAGATTATAAGCAATAATGAAAAGCTTATATGCAAATTTATTTATACAAATGTGCTCTTCTCAGAAAGTCAGTTCATTTAGGCACAGGTACATATAAGTACAATTATTATACATAGTGCACATTACCTAGTCCCTTGATGATAGTTAAGAGCTCTTCATCCAAGGAAGTGTAGCTACCCTTCCCTTCCCTTCCTTGTATCCGACACGATTATTTTTCATCGTCTGTCCCTAAGTTTAATAATTCACAATATACTGATGTAATTAAAATTTACTTCAAAATTCGCGGGGAAGAACTGAGTCAAAATAAGTCAAATGAGAAACATAACTCTCTGCCTTACAACAATAATTTTGAAATGCAAAAATGAATTTATCTATAATTACACCTTGTATATATACGATATTATATGTGCTAAAACTGTAAAGATATGGTTTATGGTGGTATTATAGATATTATTAATAATAATAACGTGAACTTTAATACTATGTCATGGCGGCGTTGTTAAAGGTTTGTTATAGTCTGGAATTACTTCATTTATCTCTATTTCCTCTCCATTTAATGAGCCAAGATAAGTCACATTTTTTTTCCAAACACATGAATAGTCAAATATTAAATATAATGCGAGGTTACAGTAATTTAGAAGTTCTGTGAGGAGAAATAAGGGTGATAATTGAGTGTGAAGGTTTGTTTACATCTGTGTGGGACTTTGTCAGTGAGTTGGGCTGATGGCCAAGAATTTGTCTTTGTGACTGTGAGTGGTGCATGATGGTGTGTTTGTGGCGTAGTTGGTGTGTGGTGGTGATGGGAGGCATAGACCTGCACACTTGTGCACCTGGGAAGTGAGGGAGACCTAGGCTGGTATAGGGGACAGGAGCTGTGTACTTGCGAGTGTTCAAGAATAATTCCTTCACTGTGACTCTCCTCAAGAACGCTACTTATAGGCTTAAAAAAAAAAAAACCCTTAAGGGTGATCCCTTCAGAGGCTCATAATTCAAGTAATTGGATGTAACCCATTCCTTGGATCAGACCTAATTGTCTCCCAGTCCTTATGAGCTGCATAATCTCCAACTGGTTTAGCGTTTCACCGGTTATAATAATAATAATCATATACTACTTGCACATTATCTGCAATGTAAATAAGTCATTATGATATAATACATTTTCCTAGGCTAAGCCTATACAGTTGAATACTTATATATGCCTACAACATCTGTGTCTTCTGAATCTTTGTACAAATATATATTGCTGCAAAAATTTGTAGATTCCCTCATCCCCCCAAAAAAACTTACTTTACCCTAATACTATTATTAACTTGGGCATAAAACTCTGATTGCAAACCTATAACAGAAAATCAGCACAATAAAAGCAATAAACACCACCTTGATATTCCAAGTGTACCACTGAAAGTCACTAAGTCTTCGATATAATGGACTGATAAGAGAAGGGAAGTGAGTGGCTGATAATGGCAGTTGTGATGGATGCAGAAGACAAGTACTTTCGTCGTCGTAGTAAAAATAACTAACAATCCTATAACCAGTGGAATCTGTCCATTTTCTAATTGAGTGACAGTAGATTTTGTCTCGCATTTCCCAAGTCCATTATATAAAGGTCCTTTATGTCTAGGGTTTACTGCTAGTTACTGTGCACAAATAAATATCAAAAAGTATGGAGCAGCTTACTTTAAGAATGTAAAACTGTTTAATGGTTTAGGCACTTCTTTGAATATAATAATAATAATAATAATAATTGTATTGTACATTAGTTTTCAATTTCCAGCCTTGCAACCCATTGTTTAGTTAACAGTATTTATACTGCCTTATTCTTATATCCACTGTATATATAGTATAGCTACAGTATTTATCTACTAAGTAGCTCTATGTAATATTAGTATTAGTTATGCCTAAAATAGCATCCATTGAGTCACAGAATGTCCCACCAGTGTTAGAGAATTATTTAGGTATAAGGCTCACAGACTTGGTAAAATATTGCGATGAGTTATCCAACTTCATAAATGCATTAATTTCTGTTGAGTGTACCTGGTAAAGTGTATGGTAGAGTTATAATTGAAAGAATTAAGAGTAAGACGGAGAATAGGATAGCAGATGAACAAGGAGGCTTTAGGAAAGGTAGGGGGTGTGTGGACCAGGTGTTTACAGTGAAACATATAAGTGAACAGTATTTAGATAAGGCTAAAGAGGTCTTTGTGGCATTTATGGATTTGGAAAAGGCGTATGACAGGGTGGATAGGGGGGCAATGTGGCAGATGTTGCAAGTGTATGGTGTAGGAGGTAGGTTACTGAAAGCAGTGAAGAGTTTTTACGAGGATAGTGAGGCTCAAGTTAGAGTATGTAGGAAAGAGGGAAATTTTTTCCCAGTAAAAGTAGGCCTTAGACAAGGATGTGTGATGTCACCGTGGTTGTTTAATATATTTATAGATGGGGTTGTAAGAGAAGTAAATGCGAGGGTCTTGGCAAGAGGCGTGGAGTTAAAAGATAAAGAATCACACACAAAGTGGGAGTTGTCACAGCTGCTCTTTGCTGATGACACTGTGCTCTTGGGAGATTCTGAAGAGAAGTTGCAGAGATTGGTGGATGAATTTGGTAGGGTGTGCAAAAGAAGAAAATTAAAGGTGAATACAGGAAAGAGTAAGGTTATGAGGATAACAAAAAGATTAGGTGATGAAAGATTGAATATCAGATTGGAGGGAGAGAGTATGGAGGAGGTGAACGTATTCAGATATTTGGGAGTGGACGTGTCAGCGGATGGGTCTATGAAAGATGAGGTGAATCATAGAATTGATGAGGGAAAAAGAGTGAGTGGTGCACTTAGGAGTCTGTGGAGACAAAGAACTTTGTCCTTGGAGGCAAAGAGGGGAATGTATGAGAGTATAGTTTTACCAACGCTCTTATATGGGTGTGAAGCGTGGGTGATGAATGTTGCAGCGAGGAGAAGGCTGGAGGCAGTGGAGATGTCATGTCTGAGGGCAATGTGTGGTGTGAATATAATGCAGAGAATTCGTAGTTTGGAAGTTAGGAGGAGGTGCGGGATTACCAAAACTGTTGTCCAGAGGGCTGAGGAAGGGTTGTTGAGGTGGTTCGGACATGTAGAGAGAATGGAGCGAAACAGAATGACTTCAAGAGTGTATCAGTCTGTAGTGGAAGGAAGGCGGGGTAGGGGTCGGCCTAGGAAGGGTTGGAGGGAGGGGGTAAAGGAGGTTTTGTGTGCGAGGGGCTTGGACTTCCAGCAGGCATGCGTGAGCGTGTTTGATAGGAGTGAATGGAGACAAATGGTTTTTAATACTTGACGTGCTGTTGGAGTGTGAGCAAAGTAACATTTATGAAGGGATTCAGGGAAACCGGCAGGCCGGACTTGAGTCCTGGAGATGGGAAGTACAGTGCCTGCACTCTGAAGGAGGGGTGTTAATGTTGCAGTTTAAAAACTGTAGTGTAAAGCACCCTTCTGGCAAGACAGTGATGGAGTGAATGATGGTGAAAGTTTTTCTTTTTCGGGCCACCCTGCCTTGGTGGGAATCGGCCGGTGTGATAATAAAAAATTAAATTTATGTACACTTTAGGTTAATGTTACATTGAAGTTTTTCAGAGGGAGTGCCACGATGCTGGTGAAGGGCTCTTGATCCAAGGAATTGGTGAAATTCCCCCCTGTGTACTTTCCTGTGTTCTAGTTATTGGATGAATTAATACGCTACACAATGTTGGGACTTTATTGACAGATGTATCCAAGTACAATATAATTGGTAGCTGTGTCAGAGACACAGCCAAAAGTGGGATAAGTGGTAGTTACAAGTAACAGAACAGAAGAGATAGGGTCAGCATCAAAAAATCAGAGCAAAGCAGGGTCAGATGGCCCAGCTGCCTAAATGCTATTCTTGGTGGGAATATCTGTTTTTAGGTGCACAGGCAAGAAATACAATGACAGCTTTACACTGATAAATCCTGATTATCTCCCATAACCTTTTCATAGAACATTTATAGAGAACTTTCATGCCTTAATTCCTCCCCCAAGAACATTATTAGAGAACCTTGTGGCTTTAGTAAGGTCACCTTATATGGTGGGGAAGATTCCATGGATTGTATTTGGATAAAAACTGTGTCTCAAGCACGTTTCATGGACAAAGATCCCACCAATGATTTTTCTGTAATGAGGATATTTCAATTGTCAGAATTTCAGTACTGTTTGATCTTGATAGGCTTCATGTTTTCTCTTGAATATCCATGCATTAACCCCTCTTCTGGAGCCCTTTTTTTTTTTAGGAACCATTTATGGTTAAATTCCTCTGTAGTAAGGTGAGATTTGTTTGTATTTTTAACCTGGTGGGTTAACTACTCAAGATAACCCAATAAAGTCAGTGCGTCATCAAGAACTGTCGGTCTTGTTTCCATTGTTTTTTTTTTAATCTTATCCCCCAAGATGCAACCCATAACAGTCGACTAACACCCAAGTACATACCTATTTACTGCTAGGAGAACTAGGACAGCAGGTGTAAGGAAACATGCCCAACATTTCCACCTGTGCCAGGCATCAAACCAGGGAAACTTTGTATGTGAACTGAGTGTACTGTCAATGGTGCCATGGGACCAGTAATGTTTGCTGAAAGATGGAAACTTAATTATTGGAGTATATGCTTGCTTTAAGCATGGATCATGTGTTTCATAATTGTCAGTAGACTTTCCAGCATTACAAAAAATCTTCTAAGTGAATAAACTCGGTGCTAAAGCTGAGTGTTGTTCTTCATGTGTCGGATTACCAAAAGATGAAAATTACGAAAATGAATTGTTGGGAAACTCACTATAGAAACAGTGTTGGAATTCTGGAGTGACTAAATAAAATTTTGTGACACCACCACCACAGTACTTCATCAGTGTTTTTGAGTTTGTGTAAATTTATTGATAAAGGTAGTGTTGGCATCAGTACCCCAAGCCATGGGATCACTGTGGCAGGTTAGTAATTGTCAGGCACAAAAATTACGTTAATTGTCAGTTGTTTAATCTGTCACCGGGGTATTTATGTATACTAAGGATTGGCTTTGTGTGTAAGAAATCCTTAAACACTTAGATGGGAGAATTGGCATCAAGTTTCACCTTTATTATATGTCACCTGGCAGGTCAGGTAATTTTTTAGGATGGTCACATATTCTTGAGTTTTATTGTTTTAAGCCATAGTTCCCTTAATTCCCAAAAGATTGTTAGTTTTATGGTGCATAGCAAGTTTATCGCATTACAGGAATGTCATAGTAATTCTTGGTTATAAGACCATGACCAGGTTAACATTGAGCTGTCAGGCCATGATAGAAATTGTATTGAATTCTTAGTCCATGGAATGGATAGCACCAAGTGCTCAGGTCTTAGTATGGTATTGACCTGTCAGGTATGGTTGAGATAGTATCTGGCTATAATTTAAATTATCTATGGGTACTTGTCTTCAGTACAGATGATTTAGATATAACACCTCATGTCAGGCATAGTAGCTACTAAGCATTCAAGTTAGGTATGCTATTGTGAATGAAATTATAAAATCTGAATTTTTTATTTTATTCAGGATAAAGGAACTGTCACCTTCGAGGAAAAATGGCCGGCGATGCGACCGACCGTATTAAAGCTGTTAAGGCAGGAATGTGTGAGCCGTGCAGAGTGGCAAGACCTCTTTTGGGCAGTTCACAAGGTTTGCCTTTGGGATGAGAAGGGCCCACCAAAGGTTCAGAAGGCATTACAAGATGATATACTAGACTTCATCACGCATGCTCAGGCTGTAAGGAAAGCAGTGCTGTAATCAAAGCTTTCAAACTATGTTCCTCGGACATATTAATATCTCATTTAATGTGTATCTTACTCAGTTGTCTAATGAAGGCACAGTAGTCAGTTGATTTAACATGGTTCAGGTGGATATTGCTGAAATGAAAGTCATAATTTAAATGATAATACCTGAGTGCTTTACTTGCATGCTTCATTCAGAGTTTTAAGTTTAAGTGAAAATTAAATCTACTTTCACTTTACTTTCCACTCTAATGAAATAATATACAGAACTGTATTTCATTGTTGTGCTAGAGGTGGGGCATATAATCAGATTATTTACTATTTAATATTATTATGGTGTTGGATAGCGTGTTCTGGATCAGCATGAGGACCAAGCACTCCTGAAGGCATATATCAGTGAGTGGCGGAAGTTCTTCCAACAATGCAATTATCTTCCGCTGCCTTTCAACCAGCTTGAGTCTGCCTTGGCAGGCAAGACTACTACCTCAGTCTCCAAGAAAGTCCAAAATGATGATTCAATAGTTAGAAAGGTGAGATGCATTTATTTGGCCATTTATCTTTCAGCATCTCTAATGCTCTCTGTCACTTTGATTTTTTTTTTTTTAAGTTCCTTGCCAATTGATTCTGTATCCATGGCTCTCACCAATTTAAGTACTTAGCATAGCCTCAGGCACATCACAACTTGAATAATCACAACCTTTAGTTTAGTGTGGTGTTTGTCTAATCTTGACTCTCTTATTTCTTAATTATTGTCTTCATGATAGTGGGGTTGAACATACCACTGTCATTAATTTTCCTTGCTTCGTACTGAAAAATGTCGTTTCACTGTTGGTCTCTCTTGGCTTCATTTACATTCCATTGTCTTGCCTCTTCTCTTCTTTTCCCCCTACATCTGTTTCCCTTTTACAGCACTTCATATCACATTGACTTTATTATTTGCTGAAATTAAATAAATGCACTGTGCACTAAGTTTTGATAAAGCTTTTCCCCTTTTATTATATGTTGATACCTGTACTTGTATGTCCTTCAGTAATATGTTTCATAGATACTTCTCTGGATCAATGCTTTGTTGATACACTTCTCTGGACCATTGTTTTGTTTATCCACCTCTCTGGGCCAGTGTTTTGCTGGTACAGTACACACCTCTGCAATAATTCTCTTTAAGGCAACAATTTTTTTTAGTTATTTATTGCATGTATAGTTAAGGTGTTATGTGAGTATTTTTTTTTGGGGTGGGGAGGGAGGGGACAGGGTTCTGTGTATGTCTGGCTTAAAAATGGCATATCTAACATTTTTATTTGTAATAATTTTCATGTTGAAGCTTTCCTTGTTGGGAGACATTATTTTGTGGTATGTATGTATGTATTAAACTGTCTGTATAATATATACTGTATACCTTCTTTTAGTGTAAATAATTTACACTGACGTGTTTCTATTTCATTTTTTTGCAGTTAATGTTGGACAGCTGGAATGCAAGCATTTTCAGCAACATAAAGCAGAGGTTACAAGACTCAGCTATGAAACTGGTTCATGCTGAAAGAAATGGAGAGGCATTTGACTCCCAGTTAGTCATTGGTGTCAGAGAATCCTATGTTAATCTGTGTTCCAATTCTGGTGATAAATTACAAATTTATAGAGAAAATTTTGAAAAGGTAAACTGTTCATTTTTAATCCCTTCTTATTTACATCACTGATTTTCTCCATTTGCTATTTGCTTCATATTACCATGTACGTACTCACTTTTAACTTGGCATTTTAACGAAAACTTTTATGTAGAAATTAAGCTGAGAAATAGATTATCATTACAAGGCAATAAGATTAGGAGTATTGGACATTTTTGTATGTGAAATATTTACTAAAGCAAACCAAAAGGAAATTAATAAATTTCAAGTACACTATTTTCACATTATCAGGAGTTATAAACACATTAGGTTACCTTCAAGTAGGGTGACGATGCTAGCGAAGGATTTTTTCTTCAAAGAATTAGAACTACTCTTCCCTTGGGTCATACAGTGCCTGGGGAATGGGAGGTAATCACCTCCCATTCCTCAGGCACTGTATGACCCTTATGAGATTAGCACTTCCCCATGAATATAATGATAGGGCATCATGCTGTTGAGTTATACAGTTGGATTACAGTAGCTAGCATATAGGGCAATATAAACAAGGGTTAATGTATTAGATTTTTTAATGTGGTATATTGAGAGAAATGTTGCATTGATAAAATTGTGAAAGAAACTTTTGTATTTATGTAATTGTATGTACCTCAAGCTGGGCTTGGAGAGTAAAACTCTCAACACCAGTCAGGGGTAATTAATGAGAAGTCATTGACAGAAAACAGCTGTCTTGTACAGTATTCATATATAGACTAGTATGCCATTTGGAAATTCTTTGTAGTAGAATTTTTTGTATTAGTAATGTTATTCTAAAATGATCTCAGGAGACAGTAGTGATAGAAAAGTACAATAGATATAATTTAATAAGGTAAGAAAATATGTACATGTACTTAATTATTGGCGATATCCAATTTTAGAATGCACACTAGACAAATGAATGTTGCAGACAAACAATTTCATAGAAAATGCACCACTATCTAGTCTCATAAAAGCAGTCATTTTTCAATGACCACATGAGTGTTTTTATTAATAATCGTTTCTCCCACAGGCATATATAGAAGCAACTAAAGCATTTTACCGTGTCAAAGCACCTCAGTACCTAGAGGCCAATGGTGTACAAAATTACATGAAATACGCAGAACTCAAATTGAGAGAAGAGGAGCAGCGTGGAGAAAAATATTTAGAGTCATTTAGTGGGTCATTACAGAATGTAAGTTTATCAATTCTTAATTTCAATAAAATCTTTTTAATTTTTCCTTTTTGTCATAAGTAGATCAAACAAAAATACAAGCTCTATCAATACGTAAGTCACTAGAAATAGAGTACAGAGTTTGTCTTGGTTACCAAAGTTCTTTAAATCTTACATATAGCTACCATGTTATCATGTACTCATTTTTCTGATGACAAAATGCTGCTGCCTACATATTTCTCTTATGTTTCAGTTAAATGAATGCTGTGTTGAAGTGTTAGTGACAACCTTCCGTGATACCATCTTGGCAGAGTGTTCGCAGATGATCAAAAACAACGAGACAGATAGTCAGTATCTCTGTGTGTCAGTGTTGGCTGTTCTTGGATGGGTAAAGTGACTAGTTCACACTTAATTTGTATTGAAGTAGTAGAATAAGAGCCACAGTATCTTGGCTGGGACAATTCACAATTAACCCACTAGTTGGAGATGGAAATTAGGTGATGTTTCAGTCCACCCTGCACCTTTTCCAAATCACAACTGAATGATCCAGGTTGCATTATTAAGGGTGTAAAGCACCCTTCTGGCAAGACAGTGATGGAGTGAATGATGGTGAAAGTTTTTCTTTTTTGGGCCACCCTGCCTTGGTGGGAATTGGCCAGTGTGTTAATAAAAAAATAATAATAACTTCCATTTTTCTTTTTGTGGGTTAGTTGTAAATTATCTTATATTATTCCCAAATTAAATTTTTTTTTTCTTAACGGGAAGCAGGAATTGGTTTGTGACTAGATTGGCTTTACATCTAATTTGCATATTATAACATGGTTATATTTTTATATTTGTTTGTTATTAGGACAACTTTCTGCTAATCTGTGAATGCAAGTTGGCATTGAATCTGATAAAATGTAAGCTGGAAGTGTTAAGTTTTTGTATACAAAATAAATCACAAATTCAAGTAGCCTGGTCCAGGGAGACTTCTATGCTAAGAAACGAAGAAATTTTCTAGTGGTAATTTTTAAATATGATATGCTGTATCTCAGTACATTTTGGTTTCGTTATGTTTCTGGTGTAGGTGAGTATATATTGGAAATTTTTTTATTTATGTATACTTCAGTGGTTTATGAAAATACATAAAAATGGTAGGAAACAACTGATACGGCAAAAAAAAATACAGAAAAAAGTTTTGGTTTGTTTTAAGGATCTTTCTTTCAATGCACCAGCTGTATCCCACTGAGGTGGGGTGGCCCAAAAGGACAAACGAAAGTTTCTCCTTTTAAATTTAGTAATATATACAGGAGAAGGGGTTACTAGCCCCTTGCTCCCGGCATTTTAGTTGCCTCTTACGACACACATGGCTTACGGAGGAAGAATTCTGTTCTACTTTCCCATGGAAATAAGAGGAAATAAACAAGAACAAGAACTAGAAAGAAAGTAAAAGAAAACCCAGAGGGGTATGTATATATATGCTTGTACATGTATGTGTAGTGTGACCTAAGTGTAAGTAGAAGTAGCAAGATATACCTGAAATCTTGCATGTTTATGAGACAGAAAAAAGGACACCAGCAATCCTACCATCATGTAAAACAATTACAGGCTTCCGTTTTACACTCACTTGGCAGGACGATAGTACCTCCCTGGGCGGTTGCTGTCTACCAACCTACTACCTAGGTGTTTTAAGGATATTAATATAAATTTAAAGTGCCAAGAATAATCAGTTTTGTATAACAAAAATTATGGTAATGCCTGAGGGTTATAAGGAGGATGCAAGCAAAAGAATTTTGGGTTGGAACTGGCTTTTTCAATGTGTGTTGACAAAAAATTCCCAGTTTCTTTACTGCCTTGCAGAATTGCAGCTTATGTTCAAATTGATGGATCGTGTGCCGGATGGAATTCAACCCATGTTGGATGCTCTAGAAGAACACATTGCCTCCGCTGGTCTAGCGGACATGGTGGCTGCTGCAGATACCATAACACAAGTGAGCATTGTACTATTATATCTTAGTCTTTTCCTATCATGGATGTCTTGTATTCCCTCACCACTCTATTCCCTTTAAAGGGTGGCAGGGTGGCTTCATTTATCTCCAAAAGGTAACGTATTTATTTTTGAAAAGGTGACTTACAATATTTATGTTTTGAAAAGATGGCTTTATCTATCCCTGTTAGGTTAGATTTATCCTTGAAAGAATAGCTTTATTTATTCCTAAAGGGATAATTTTATTTATTCCTAAAGGGGTAACTTTATTTATCCCTCAAGGGGTAGCTTTATTTATCCTTATAAAGGTATCTATAGTTAATCTTGAAAAGGTAGCTTTGTTTAAACTCCTCTCTTGTCATTTCAAGTGCCTCCAACTTCAGGTACTCCTTGAAGGAGTATGCGTTCTGACATTTACTTATTCAAGAGAGGAAATGCCAGCTGCTGTTGGTTACATCAATCACCAGCTTACAGATATATCAGCTGGGAAAAAATGATGGCAAGTTGCATTTGCTTCTAATATTTCTGAGCAGAATAAGGCAAAGAAAAATAAAGTATGATAATAGCTTTCCATTTTATGGACTGTTGAAGTTGGCAAAAAATTGACAGGCTCTTGGCAATGTTGTTAAGATTCTCCCAAGAAGTATTTGTGTTTTCTTGTTTCTGTGACAGAAGACCTTTTTTTTTTTTTGTGTGTGTGTGTGTCAGTATTTAACACTACATACACTTGTTTCTTATTATACTAGATGCATTTCAAGGCATTTTAGTACTCAGAATAGAAAATGCTTAACCTGACATAGCCCCACATTGAGCATTCAATACAATATAAATTTGTGCAGATATTTGTTTTTCCTTACTTCTTTCAATTCCTTTTGTCTTTTAACACTGTGTACAAGAAAATCATGTGATATTACAGTTGATTCAGGGTGTGATACCTGTAGACATTGGAAATAAGTCATGTTGTTTGATTTATGTTGTCCTTGGATAAAAATATTCAAATACTGTTATGTACTTTTTGTGCCCATAAAATCTGGAACAAAATAGAAGGACATCGAGAGAGTATATATCTGTAGTGGGGGGAAGGCGGGGTAGGGGTCAGCTTAGGAAATGTTGGAGGGAGGGGATACAGAAGGTTTAGTGTGTGTGAGGAGCTTGGACTTCCAGCAAGCATGCATGAGCGTGTTAGATAGGAGTGAATGGAGGCAGATGGTTTTTAGGCCTTGATGTGCTGTTGGAGTGTGAGTAGGGTAACATTTATGAAGGGATTCAGGGAAACCGGCAGGCTGGACTTGAGTCTTGGAGATGGGAAGTACAGTGTCTGCACTCTGAAGGAGGGGTGTTAATGTTGCAGTTTTATAATTGTAGTGTGGACACGCCTCTGGCAAGACGGTGATGGAGTGAATGATGCTGAAAGTTTCATTTTTTGGGCCACCCTACCTTGGTGGGAGATGGTCGATGTGTTAATAAAAAAGAAAATCTGTATGCTCTCAGGAGACTATGTGCAAAGAAATCCATATACGTGTATATCATAATTGATTCAGGGGATGCTACTTCTTAATTCTTGGTTATTCATAAGGTATCCTGGGTTAAAAATATACATACATGGTAATGTGCTTTTTATATGCCCTAAAGACAATTTTAAAAAAATATATGTATGCTGTGTACATACAACTAAATAAAAAAAATATACGTAGATGCAAAGTGGAATGTCACACATCTTGTGTACATGTCGTGCTGAGTCAGTGTTATTCGTAATGCAGTATGTGGACCTACCTGACCCTATATTTTTCTTTTCTAGAGATGACTAGATGAGAGAACACCCAGAGAGTTGAACTGAGATATAAATAGCAGTTGGCAGCAAATTTTAGCCCACCAAAAATTAACATTCATGTATGTCATGCATAAAACAAACTCCTGCATATGTACATCATACATAGATTAACCCTTAAACTGTCCAAACATAGACCTACATTCATGCGCGTAGCTCTCCGACCTTAATTTTCTCCATTTGAAAGCATGTAAAAAACGTAGATCTACATTCAGAGCACTATGTACATGAACGTAGATCTACGTTTGGACAGTTCAGGGGTTAAGGGTTAATACTTGAATGTTTTAAATATTTGTGAGGAAGATTTTGCTTGTAGCCCTTTCACAAGGCTGGGAAGTTCCCGGAGAATAAAGTCTTTACCCATTCACTACCCAGACCACCAATCTGAAACTTGTCTACACTGCCCAAATATTTAAAAAAAAAATTTCTTTTTTACCTATGAAATGTTAGAGAATCTTTTTCTGAAGATAATTAAACAAAATGTATGAAATTTGATGGAAAATTGATGAAATTACACTTTTGTGAATTTTGCTGTGTCAGCGATATTCACACAAAAAAATAGAAGATTTATTGTTATGCAATATTGTAATAATTATATAAATAATATCAGCGCATTCATGAATGAGTATTAGACCCACCGTTTGAACGTATATTGGATGAGTGACGTGATTTGTTTACTCTTGAATATTAGCAAAAATCGAACATTTCTTCCTCAGTTTCAAGCCATTTTCATTCCTGAAACCAGTCAAAATCATCTCTGTTTTTGTAATATATATTCAATTCTATCAAATGAGACCAAGAAACTGAGAATACAGTAATAAAAACCATACAAAAATACACCACAAATTGCTGTTTTAAACCAAAAACATGGTTGCAATTTTTTTTTCTCCTGCAATGTGTGCTGCAGGATTTTTTTTATATGGTGCATACTTACTCCATAGACCCATTCTCTCATATGTAGGCCCAAATTTACCACTCACAGTGTATCTGAGTCAGCTGAGCTCATGGTATAGTACTATGGCACAGCCAGTGACCTCAAAGCTGTAGTACTACGGCACAGCCAATGAAGTCGTTAAATATGCACACATTAATATGCTGTATTATTAACTGCTGTATGAGCACATTAAGTTTACACAAAGGAAAGTTCTTAAAAACAGCTGTGCTAATTAACATTTGATGCATGATGGAAAAAAATACAGCTGCAGCATTAGTGTTAGTTGAATACTATTTAAGAGAGAATTAACAATGGTTAGAGGCAGGTGTAATATCTAAAAGATTGGGATTAAAAGCAGCTATGGTCATAAAGAGCAGTTAGAAGACTGAATAGAAATGTCTTTACATATACCAAGACATGAATGATACCTAGAATGGAAGAATACTCATTATTTCATATTTTCAGGACTCGGAGCAGTATGTAGAAAAGCTTCTAGATCTATTTCAAAGATTTAGTAAATTGGTGACTGAAGCATTTAATGAAGATCCACGGTTCCTCACAGCGAGAGACAAGGCCTATAAACAGGTTGTCAATGATACACAAGTCTTCAAATTAGAATTACCAAGTAAAACGGTATGTTCTTGATTTTTAGTGATGTTGAAATGCTGAGTAATAAACATGTTTGTGTTTTATTTTAATATTAAAGTGTTATCCTCTGAATGAGAAAAGAATATGAATTGTGGATTGCTAGCAACTATTCATGGCAATACTTATAAACTTCAGGTGTTACACAGTATGCTTTATGTACTCTACATAATTTTAACTGTACTTTAAGTGCTGCATAACCCCTAATATGTATAATTTCCCTAAGATATATAATAATTCATTTCTACCTTCTGGCGATGGTAATATATATTTGCCTAAAACTGTATCACTGCAAATTTTTCAAAGATTATGCTTCAGCAAACACTACAACACACACTTTAAACACAGCATTACAATTTTCATTTATTTTTTACTGTCTTGTAAATAATATTGGTATACTAACTGTCATTATACAATATTGTCTATTGTTATATCATGTTTCAGAAATGAATCCCAGTGATAGTGATTGATTTGTTGGTGAAACATTGATTGTACTTCATCAAATGAGCTAAGAAGTTGCAAGTCTTTCCTACCTGCTATGAATTATATTTATTCAATTTCAATCATCTTTACATTAATTTTTCATATTGTGTTGAAATGATTATTGTTGGTTTTTATTCTGCAGACTTCATCTAACTATAGATCAGGTTGTGTTATAGAAAACTTTTCGTATTTAGTGTACCGTCTAGGAAAGTGCCTTGATACCTTGATCCAAGGAATTGGAGCTACTCTTCCTTTGGATCAAACCTGATTACCTACCATTCCCAATGTGTTGTATAACCTTTATAGATATATCACTTCCTCATGAATTTAGTAATACTGTAACCACACAATGTGATCTTGAAATTTATCTTCATATTTCTTTGCTCAGGCATCTCCTTACTCACAAAATTATAATAACGCGATGGCAAACAAATCAGGGAATGAGTGGGGTTTGAACCAATGGCAAGTGAGTCCTAAAATTCACAGGCCAGTGCATTAACCACTCAGCCAGATGACTAATAAAATTCATCCAGCTAGGAGTATTTCTGTACATACACCATAAGGAAGTTAGCATGGGTCCCACTGAGACCACAGATGCCAGCCATTTGCCAGTCACCCAAGGCCTACCCTGGTTCCTGACCTTGAGCATATAAGATGCAAGGTGATTTTCATGCTAGGTAGTAAAGTTAATTTTGTAACATAGTATATTCTCTGTAATTGTTATCAATTTTATAACAGTGGTAATGCCTTTAAAAGCTCTATATTCACTTACAGAAAGGCATTGGCATCAAGACCCAGCCTGAATCCAAATGTCCAGAATTACTTGCAAACTACTGTGATATGTTGCTTAGAAAGACGCCACTTAGCAAAAAGCTCACTGCAGATGAGATTGAAAGCAAATTAAAAGATGTGGTAAGTACTGTATTTTGTAATACTTTAGGTAAATAAAGATGTCTTTTGATGTTTGTAATATTTAGTGTTCTCCATGGGGAAATGGAAAAGACTCCTTCCTCCATAAGCCATGTGTGTTGTAAGAGGTGACTAAAATGCCAGGAGCATTTTTCTGTATAAATTACTGAAGGTAAAAAGAAGAAAAAACTTTTGATTCTTCTTTTTTGGGTCACCCTGCCTTGATGGGAGACAGTGTGTTAAAAATATATTTAGTATTGTATAAAATAGCATTAAATTACTGGGTTCATTTCTTTTTCTAAATGTAGTAGTATAAGAGTGGAGGCTTGATTAACTTCTAGATGCTACAGATATCTTTGTTGGCAACTCGTAATTTAGACATTATTATGCAGTTGCTGGTGCTAAAGTATGTGAGCAACAAGGATGTTTTTATGCGGTACCACAAAGCACATCTCACCCGCCGCCTCATCCTTGACACTTCTGCAGACTCTGAGAAAGAAGAAAATATGGTAGAATGGTAAGTAGAAAAAAATGGTGTGATTTGACTTTGCATGGTAGTATGCAGTAGGACACTTGGTCTAGGCCATGGTAGGGTAACACTGCAGTGGGGAAAGTCAAGGGGAAACTTTCTTCCTCTGATCTTGATGGTGCTCTATGTTTTCCTTACTTCCATGTTATTTTTCCAGTCTGTTTTTTTTACTTTTCTTGTGCATGCCTGCCTTTATCTGCCTTTTCTTTTCGATTTTTTTCATTTGCAAGTGGCATTCCCAGTGTAGCTTTGAGCTGAAAGTTGGCCTGCCTGTGTGGCCTGGATGACCATTACCTGGTGGGACCTCTAGGGTCAAATCTGATATTTCTAAGAGATGAATTGTCTGTTTTTTTCCCCTAATTTTTTTTTTTAAGTAATAATTTTGTCTCATCATTGTAGTTAGGGCAAATACTTTAAAAGAGTGATGCCTTCGTTAGTAAATAAGGCATTATAAAAAAAGACAGATAAACAGAGTCTCTTGAGTAATGAGGAATCTTATAATAGAATGTTAACTCATGGGCAAATGTAGGTAGGTATAGGGTAAAGAAATATATTACAGTACTGTACATGCTGACATTGTTATAGTAACATCTAATGTAATATGGTAGCGTAATGGCCTGTAGGTATGGATTTGGCAATATGGGGAGCAAATATTTATTTTTAGTGTTAGATAAATAAAAAATGTGAACATGGAACCGAGATCAGTTTCTAAGATTATAAAACAATTTCCCACACACAATATAGGTTACGAGAGGTTGGCATGCCTGCAGACTATGTGAACAAGCTAGCAAGAATGTTCCAAGATATTAAAGTATCAGAAGATCTCAATCAACAGTTCAAGGAGACAATCAGAACGACTACCAAGTCTAGTGTAGCAGGTAAGAACTTTGCACGTATGATGCTTTATTTGCCTCATATCTGTAATTTAATCAAATTGAGGAGGAGGAGTATGGAAGAAGTGAATGTTTTCAGATACTTGGGAGTTGACGTGTCGGCGGATGGATTTATGAAGGATGAGGTTAATCATAGAATTGATGAGGGAAAAAAGGTGAGTGGTGCGTTGAGGTATATGTGGAGACAAAAAACGTTATCTATGGAGGCAAAGAAGGGAATGTATGAAAGTATAGTAGTACCAACACTCTTATATGGGTGTGAAGCTTGGGTGGTAAATGCAGCAGCGAGGAGACGGTTGGAGGCAGTGGAGATGTCCTGTCTAAGGGAATGTGTGGTGTAAATATTATGCAGAAAATTCGGAGTGTGGAAATTAGGATAAGGTGTGGAGTTAATAAAAGTATTAGTCAGAGGGCTGAAGAGGGGTTGTTGAGGTGGTTTGGTCATTTAGAGAGAATGGATCAAAGTAGAATGACATGGAGAGCGTATAAATCTGTAGGGGAAGGAAGGCGGGGTAGGGGTTGTCCTCGAAAAGGTTGGAAGGAAGGGGTAAGGGAGGTTTTGTGGCCGAGGGGTTTGGACTTCCAGCAGGCATGCACGAGCGTGTTCGATAGGAGTGAATGGAGACGAATGGTATTTGGGACCTGACGATCTGTTGGAGTGTGAGCAGGGTAACATTTAGTGAAGGGATTCAGGGAAACCGGTTGTTTTTATATAGCCAGACTTGAGTCCTGGAAATGGGAAGTACAATGCCTGCACTCTAAAGGAGGGGTTCAGGATATTAGCAGTTTGGAGGGATATGTTGTGTATCTTTGTACATATATGCTTCTAAACTGTTGTGTTCTGAGCACCTCTGCAAAAACAGTGATTATGTGTGATTGAGGTGAAAGTGTTGAATGATGAAAGTATTTTCTTTTTGGGGATTTTCTTTCTTTTTGGGTCAGTCTGCCTTGGTTTATAAATTTGGTTTATAAATTCATCTTTACTACCAAGATATTTTAATATTATAATGTTTAGATCTTAGATATTGAGGAAATTTTATATAATACAATGTACAGTACAGTATATTGTTTTACTAGATTTTTTTTACAGATAATCTTAATATAAAAATATTAAATGCTGGAGCCTGGGCTAGAGGAAGTGATCGGGTGGCTGTTAGTTTACCAATGGAGCTGGAGGACTTCATCCCAGAGGTTGAAGACTTCTACCGTAAGAAGCACTCAGGACGCAAGCTTCAGTGGCATCATCATATGTCCAATGGCACAGTAGGTGCCCACTTCTCATGTTTACTTTTTGGTTTTGAACTATTTACTCATCTGTATTCAGCTAGTATTTCATATTTATTTAAATCAAATGATCATTAGAAGTGTAATGTCCATGCTCTTCTGAAAAGTGTGTGATTAGGAAATTTTTTTTTATCATCTTACCATAATGGGGAAACTGCAAATGTGATAAAAAAAATTAACAACTTGTGGTGTTCCCAAGGTTTTGCTGTTATTAAACCTTTTTCACGTGGCATGTGAAACATAAGTATAGTATCAGCTATTACTGGCAATGTTTGCTAACTTTTGTATAGGTCATTGTGTGAATGTTGAAATTAGTTTATCAGACATGTATAAGAAAAGCCTAAATATAAGTCTGGTTTCCATGTATATCTTTTATATTTTCTATCCATAAATATTTGTGTCTGCCTGCCTGCTTTATGATGTAGTTCTTTACACATGAGATTCAAGTTCATATATAGAAGACAACTTTACACCTGTAACTTTTAAAATTAATCATTACAAATTATGTCAGTAATGACTAACCGTAGTCACTGATTAACAGCATAATGCTTGGTACAAGTGCTTTGTGCCCTAAGTGGTTTAGCACGTCCACTTGAGTATGATAAAATATTGGCACCAACATGACTGGTGAAGGTGAATGTGAATAATTTTTGACATCCACTGCTGATGCTCACTCTTCTTTCTTTTCCGTCATCACAGATAACCTTTTCCAATAATATGGGAAGATTTGACTTGGATGTCACCACCTTCCAAATGGCTGTCATGTTTGCGTGGAATCAGCGGACACACGACAAGATATCTTTTGACAACCTTCGACTTGCCACTGAGCTGCCAGATCCTGAATTGCGACGGACACTCTGGGTATATTTCCTCTTTTGATACTAGCTTGATATAATTCTCTCCTCTCCCTCTCGTTACCAAATTTAATTCACGTTGATTCTTAAGCATGGTATAAAAACGACATGGAAAATGGTAATGCTAGTGTGTGAAATGAGAAAATAAGAGTAAGATAAACCACTAAACATGTATGATGAATGCCTTAGCTACAGAAGTCTTCAGAGCAATAAGAAAAACAAAAAAGTGTTGTACAGAAGTGTTGAAGAAAGCAAGATAATATAGAAGGGAAACAAAAAAGAAAGCAAGAACAGCATATAATTTTCAAATATATGTAAGAAATTTTAATGAGTGTTGATTGATAATTAGCCACATTATATTAATGTGTAGATGATAGAGCATAAAATTTATTATTTGAATATTGATGATTTAATGAATCTGATTTACACAAGTAAACATGGTGAAATATCATGATTGCGTTAAAAATCAATGTATAGTGATGGTAGTGTTTGCTGAAATGGGATCAACTTCATTTTTTTTTTTTAACAAGTCGGCCGTCTCCCACCGAGGCAGGGTGACCCAAAAAAGAAAAAAAATCCCCAAAAAGAAAATACTTTCATCATCATTCAACACTTTCACCTCACTCACACATAATCACTGTTTTTGTGGAAGTGATCAGAACACAACAGTTTAGAAGCATATACCTATAAAGATACACAACATATCCCTCCAAACTGCTAATATCCCGAACCTCTCCTTTAGAGTGCAGGCATTGTACTTCCCATTTCCAGGACTCAAGTCCGGCTATATAAAAATAACTGGTTTCCCTGAATCCCTTCACTAAATATTGCCCTGCTCACACTCCAAGAGATCGTCAGGAAAAATATAAACTCTCCCACCCCCTTCAGCTTTGTTTCACTTAAAGCCAGGACATCCAGCTTCTTCTCATTCATAACATTCACAATCCTCTCTTTCTTATCATTTGCACAACATCCACACACATTCAGACTTCCCACTTTGACAATTTTCTTCTTATTCTTTTTAGTAATTATTACAGGAAAAGGGGTTACTAGCCCATTGTTCCCGGCATTTTAGTTGACTTACAACATGCATGGCTTACGGAGGAAAGATTCTTATTCCACTTCCCTATGGATATAAAAGGAAAAGTAATAAGACCAAGAACTATTAAGATAAAATCAAAGAAAACTCAGATGAGTGTGTATAAATAAACATGTACATGTATGTGTAGTGTGACCTAAGTGTAAGTAGAAGTAGCAAGACGTACCTGTAATCTTGCATATTTATGAGACACACAAAAGACACCAGCAATCCTACCATCATGTAAAACAATTACAGGCTTTCATTTCACACTCACTTGGCAGGACGGTAGTACCTCCCTGGGTGGTTGCTGTCTACCAGCCTACTACCTACAATCAACTTCATTATGTTCATTAAATCTTATAAGAGGAATATTTTAAGTGATATCTGTTTTAGATTTTTCATTTGGTGTATCAAAGCAGATATGCTATGTGTGTATTATGTCTGTTTTTATACATATTTGGAGTGAAAAAAGCACAGCTATGCTCAAGGTGTTTTGTGTTTAGTACTACTTAGTTTATTATAAAATTGTTTTATCTTTTCTCCTGTTAATCAACAAGATAATGTTGTGTGTTTATAGTCATCATAACTTATACTTTTTGACTGTAAGTTAATCTATAGCATGTCTTTAGACGGTTTATTCTTTACCTATATTTTTTTTCAGGTGTGGACACCACACTACACTTGCATATTCCAGTTTTTCATCATGTGTTTTTGTCAACAAAATTTTTTTTTTATGGAATTTCACTGTCCATGTAGGGATGTCTCCATGTGATAGATGCACTTCTGGTCCATGTTGCATAAATCAAACCTAATACATTATGACATGTAAAACATTGGGATACTTATTAGGCTTTGCAAATTCCACATTTCTTTATTAATGCCTGCAAAATATATGATTACTACACATGCACCAAATTGTCATATATAAAAGAGAAATTAATTTGGTCCAAAAACAACCAAGAAGAAAGTGATAATCCCTAGTCCCAACTTTGCATCAGGACAGTCCAACTTCGTCTGGCTGGGTGCCCATTTTCTTCTTAGTGCAAAAAAAGTTAAATTGAAAACCAGATTAGATTTCCCATGCCCAAATCTAATTGTTGTTTTTCCTGTTGTTTTGTAAGTGTCAGTATAAAAAGAGTTTAAAGTAAGAATAAGGTTGTCTTATAAAGCAAAACTGCATAAAGTGAGACAAACATATCTGAAGGCTATTTTGAAGTGTGTCAGTGTAGTATATGAGCTTTTTGCTACAGCCATTTTGTGATCTGATGGTAATTTTTTGTCTTAATTGTTCATAGATCTTCATCTCTGTCATTCATAAGCATTTTATTACAATTTACATTCTTTATGTTGCACATTTTTGTTTGTAGGAAGTGCACAGCATGACTGGTCAGAGACCAGTTTCTGTTAGCAGACAGTGGATCAAGCCTTCACCAGTCTTGTGCTAAATGATTTGCACAGGTTTAGCAATTCAAATAATAATAATTCTTGGCCCAGACTCTAACTTTCTATTGCTTGATGTAAAATGGTTTCATCATACTGTAGTTACATTTGAACCTCGGTATGGAGTCCATTTTCACTTTCATTCATAGGGTCATTCCACTTTTTTTTTTACCACCCTTATGTTGAAAAGTTTTTGGATATCCCTGTGGTTCAGTTGGGTGTGTAGGTTTCACTCAGGCTCCTTTTTTTTTTCTTTTGGGGGGAGTAAAGAGCCTATCCTTGCCTATTGTGTTTTATGTGTATGAGTATTTCATATAGTTAAAAGAGACATGTATAGCAAAAGGAGATCTTTCATTATTTTGATGTTTCAATTACAAGAAGCTTTACCTAGGAAAAATACAAAATATCAGTGTATAGTGCCAAAAGGCAGTCACATCAGGTGCTAGGCTAGTGTAAGGTCAGATGTAAGTGACATGTCCTTTCAGGTGTAAGTGGCATGTCTTTTCAGGTGTAAGTGACATGTCCTTTCAGGTGTAAGTGACATGTCCTTTCAGGTGTAAGTGACATGTCCTTTCAGGTGTGACATGTCCTTTCAGGTGTAAGTGACATGGCCTTTCAGGTGTAAGTGACATGTCCTTTTAGGTGTAAATGACATGTCCTTTCAGGTGTGACATGTCCTTTCAGGTGTAAGTGACATGTCCTTTCAGGTGTAAGTGACACGTCCTTTCAGGTGTAAGTGACACGTCCTTTCAGGTGTAAGTGACACGTTCTTTCAGGTGGGGTGGGCATGCATGGCAGACTGACAGAGACACACAGACAGACAGACAGACAGAGACAGACAGACACACACAGACACACACACAGACACACACACACACAGACACACACACAGACACACACACACAGACACACACACACAGACACACACACACAGACACACACACACAGACACACACACACAGACACACACACACACACACACACACAGACACAGACACACACACACACAGACACAGACACACACACACAGACACACACACACAGACACACAGACATGCACACACAGACACACAGACACACACACACACACACAGACATGCACACACAGAGACACACACACAGACACACACACAGACACACACACACAGACACACACACACACACACACACAGACACAGACACACACACACAGACACACACACACAGACACACACACACAGACACACACATATTTTTTGTTTTTTTTCAACAAGTCGGCCGTCTCCCACCAAGGCAGGGTGACCCAAAAAAGAAAGAAAATCCCCAAAAAGAAAATACTTTCATCATCATTCAACACTTTCACCACACTCACACATTATCACTGTTTTTGCAGAGGTGCTCAGAATACAACAGTTTAGAAGCATACACATATAAAGATACACAACATATCCCTCCAAACTGCCAATATCCCAAACCCCTCCTTTAAAGTGCAGGCATTGTACTTCCCATTTCCAGGACTCAAGTCCGACTATATGAAAATAACCGGTTTCCCTGAATCCCTTCACTAAATATTACCCTGCTCACACTCCAACAGATCGTCAGGTCCCAAGTACCATTCGTCTCCATTCACTCCTATCTAACACGCTCACGCACGCTTGCTGGAAGTCCAAGCCCCTTGCCCACAAAACCTCCTTTACCCCCTCTCTCCAACCCTTTTGAGGACGACCCCTACCTCGCCTTCCTTCCCCTATAGATTTATATGCTTTCCATGTCATTCTACTTTGATCCATTCTCTCTAAATGACCAAACCACCTCAACAACCCCTCTTCTGCCCTCTGACTTATACTTTTATTAACTCCACACCTTTTCCTAATTTCCACACTCCGAATTTTCTGCATAATATTTACACCACACATTGCCCTTAGACAGGACATCTCCACTGCCTCCAACCGTCTCCTCGCTGCTGCATTTACCACCCAAGCTTCACACCCATATAAGAGTGTTGGTACTACTATACTTTCATACATTCCCTTCTTTGCCTCAATAGATAATGTTTTTTGACTCCACATATACCTCAATGCACCACTCACCTTTTTTCCCTCATCAATTCTATGATTAACCTCATCCTTCATAAATCCATCCGCCGACACGTCAACTCCCAAGTATCTGAAAACATTTACTTCTTCCATACTCCTCCTCCCCAATTTGATATCCAATTTTTCTTTATCTAAATCATTTGATACCTTCATCACCTTACTCTTTTCTATGTTCACTTTCAACTTTCTACCTTTACACACATTCCCAAACTCATTTATTTATTTATTTAGCTACATTAATTAAAATAAATTTTTGAATACACAGAAAAAAATAGTGTGCTGAAAGTTCTATAGTGACTGATTAGTATGACAGGAGTAAGCTAGGATCTATAGCAAGCCAACAAAACATTGTTTCTTTTTGAGTATTCTATGCTTTTTTCACAATCATTTAATTTAATGATGTGCCAGAGTATCTGTATGAGAGGTATCTGCTGATTTTATTTGTATCAGTATTGGGTAATTTTTATGGTCTCGGTACAAGCTAATTTTGATGTTATTGGTATGAGCCTAAAATTTAGTACAGTGGACCCCCGGTTAATGATTTTAATCCGTGCAAGAGGGATAATTGTTATGCGAAATAATCGTTATGCGAATGAATTTTCCCCATAAGAAATAATGGAAATAAAATTAATCCGTGCAAGACGCCCAAAAGTATGAAAAAAAATTTTTTTTACCACATGAAATGTTAATTTTAATACACACAAACTGAAAAAGGCATGCACAATTACATGACACTTACTTTTATTGAAGATCTGGTGATGATTGATGGGATGGGAGGAGGGGAGAGCATTATCTTCTTACTGTTTAGAAGGGGAATCCCCTTCCATTACGACTTGAGGTAGCAAGTCCTTTTCCGGGGTTACTTCCCTTCTTCTTTTAATGCCACTAGGACCAGCTTGAGAGTCACTGGACCTCTGTCGCACAACAAATCTGTCCATAGAGCTCTGTACCTCCCGTTCCTTTACGATTTGTCTAAAATGGGCCACAACATTGTCATTGAAATAGTCACCAGCACAGCTTGCAACAGCTGTGTCAGGGTGATTTTCATCTATAAAGGTTTGCAGTTCAACCCACTGTGCACACATTTCCTTAATCTTTGAAGTAGGCACAATGGATTCCACAACTGGCATAGGCTTCTCAGGGTTAGCCCCAAACCCTTCAAAATCTTTCTTAATTTCCATACTAATTCTCACCCTTTTTACCACAGGGTTGGCACTAGAAGCTTTCTTGGGGCCCATGGTCACTTATTTTCCAGAAACAGCACCGAAAACACTGTAATAATACGAAATATTCCGAGTGTATGCTTGGATGTTACCGCGGAGGCTGGCTGGTAAACAATGGGACGGGCGGCACATGTGAGGGCACATTGGACGCGTCTCGGACGAAAATCGGTGAGCGGGTTTTTAATCGGTATGCGCGGCAAAAATTTTGCGATAAAAGTAAGCGGTATGCGGAAAAATCGCTATGTGATGCCATCGTTATGCGGGGGTCCACTGTATTAGTATCATTATAGGTAAAAATTTGGTATCATCCCATCCCTAACTTGATAGAAGTCATTTACATGGAAAATATTAGATGTCTGAGATAATTTTTATCATATCAAAATCAAGGTTTTAATTTTGTATATGCTGTTTGCAGTATTTGAAATTTCTTCCTTTTGTGTTTCCTTTCAGTCTTTGGTAGCATTTCCCAAAATGAAAAGGCAAGTTCTCAGTATGTCTGGGGAGGTGACGTCTCCGAAGGATTTCACAGAAAACACACTCTTCTGGGTTAACCAGGAGTTTGCTCCTATGTGAGTAGAGCTTAAGGTTTTGTGATCCACTGATTCCTTCAATCCTAACTTAATAATTATTAAAAAGTAACTAATGAAAATGGATGGTTCATATCTTGGTGATTAGATAACTAATTTTGATTTATAGATTTTTTACTCAAACCCTGACAAAGATGGTCTTCTCATGTATAGGGAACTTAAGCATTATGGCCATTCATGCAAAATTTCAACTAGTTTAGACTTTTTTTAGGATATAATGCCTATAAGTGTAATGACTATCCCAGACTTCAGCAATGGAATGAATGGATCAGTCCTGCACCTGTTGTGTGGAAATGTTCATGATCATAATACCAATAACAGTGTCCGAACAATTGAATCAGGTCTAGTAAATACCCATACAACAGACCAGGGTGCCTTACCTGTCCTCGGGAAATTTGGAAAAAATCAAATATTTTTGCTAATTTGAGGCTGATTTAAAGTTACTTTTGGTCCTCTATTCTATTTTATCAATGATACCAACAAACAGCCAATAAAACCATCTTAGGAAATACCTTAGAGACCATTTTCAATCAAATACAGGGTCAGATTTAAGCTTTTCCCCATCATGTATCACATGGAGCAGGATTTGTTTATATGTACTACAGTAGAATCCCCGTATCCACAGATTTGGTTTCCATGGTTTCAGTTATCCACGGTTTACTGTGGCCTGAAAATAACCCTTAATTTTGCTAAATAATGACACCAAAGCACAAAAGTAGTGATAGTGACAGTTCTTCAAAGTCTAAGAGAAGCTATGAAGTGCTTCCCATCAGTGAAAAAGTGCTAATTCTTCACTTATTGTGTATAATTTATCAATTAAACTTTATCATAGGTATGTATGTAAACAAAAAATGACATATATATATAGGGTTCGTTACTATCCACGGTTTCAGGTATCCATGGCAGGGCTTGGAATGTATCTCCTGCAGATACGGGAGGACTGTTGTATGTGCACACACCGCACAGACCTATTCTCTCATATATTGGACAAAATTTATCACTCAGCATTTTGTGAGAGAGTTGAGCTCAAGACATAGAGATATGTTAGGGACCCTGGTGGCAAAAACAAAGTCATATGATAGACAGGAAAAGCATTAATAACATAGGTGTACCTCTTTGATCTGGAGCTAGGAAGTATCTGTTAGAGAGGATGTATTCTCATTTTCTTGGTCTCATTTGATAGAATGGAAGATATATTACAGAAATAGAGATGATTTTGATTGGTTTAATGATGAAAAGTACCCTGAAATTGAGCTCAAAGTAGCAGAAATGTTCGATTTTTGTCGATGCTCAAGAGTAAACAAATCACGCCATGCGTTCAGTACATGTTAGCTGGTGAGTCTGATATTCTTTCACAAGTGCATTGATATCATTTATACCATTTTTACAATAATGCAGTAGTCTGCATAACAGTAAATCTTCTATTTTTCTGAAAATAAAAATTCAAAATGGAAAGCAAGAGTAATGTAAGAGGGGCCTGGAGCCATGACTAATGAACAGAAAATTTTTTATTTTAGTGCCAGGAATGTCTGTCTTGTTTATTCTGGACCCTGTTTTGAAATTGGCCAGATTGCCAATTTTTGACCACTTCATTGGGTAATTGAAATCGGTAAATGGGTGGTTTCTTGTACTCATTCAATAGAACAAATGGAGTGAAATAACTATGATTTTAGTCGACTGGAACATTGGAATTGGCCGAAAATGAGGCTCAAAGTGGGCAAAATTGCCAATGCTAACTTCGCGAGAGCATAATTCTGTAAGTTTTCCTTCAAATTTCATACTTTTGGTGTCATTACCATCGGGAAAAGATTCTCTATCATTTCACAAGAAAAAATAATTTTTTTTTTTTTTCGACCCTGAGAACGAGTTCAGGATAGGGGGTCTCGACCCTGAAAGGGAAAATCCAGTGGCCACAGGCAGTATTTTACCTTAGTCAAACATTCTTGGCCATGGCTGACCAAGTACAGTTAATTATTTTGGTTTTCTTTTTCTGTCTCATAAACACGCTAAGATAACAGGGATATCTTGCTACTCCTACTTACACTTTGGTCACACTTCACAGACACGCACATGCATATATATATATACATACATCTAGGTTTTCCTCCTTTTTCTAAATAGCTCTTGTTCTTTTTTATTTCTTCTATTGTCCATGGGGAAGTGGAAAAGAATCTTTCCTCCGTAAGCCATGCGTGTCGTATGAGGCGACTAAAATGCCGGGAGCAATGGGCTAGTAACCCCTTCTCCTGTATACAATTACTAAAAAAGAGAAGAAGAAAAACTTTATAAAACTGGGTTGCTTAAATGTGCGTGGATGTAGTGCGGATGACAAGAAACAGATGATTGCTGATGTTATGAATGAAAAGAAGTTGGATGTCCTGGCCCTAAGCGAAACAAAGCTGAAGGGGGTAGGAGAGTTTCAGTGGGGGGAAATAAATGGGATTAAATCTGGAGTATCTGAGAGAGTTAGAGCAAAGGAAGGGGTAGCAGTAATGTTAAATGATCAGTTATGGAAGGAGAAAAGAGAATATGAATGTGTAAATTCAAGAATTATGTGGATTAAAGTAAAGGTTGGATGCGAGAAGTGGGTCATAATAAGCGTGTATGCACCTGGAGAAGAGAGGAATGCAGAGGAGAGAGAGAGATTTTGGGAGATGTTAAGTGAATGTATAGGAGCCTTTGAACCAAGTGAGAGAGTAATTGTGGTAGGGGACTTGAATGCTAAAGTAGGAGAAACTTTTAGAGAGGGTGTGGTAGGTAAGTTTGGGGTGCCAGGTGTAAATGATAATGGGAGCCCTTTGATTGAACTTTGTATAGAAAGGGGTTTAGTTATAGGTAATACATATTTTAAGAAAAAGAGGATAAATAAGTATACACGATATGATGTAGGGCGAAATGACAGTAGTTTGTTGGATTATGTATTGGTAGATAAAAGACTGTTGAGTAGACTTCAGGATGTACATGTTTATAGAGGGGCCACAGATATATCAGATCACTTTCTAGTTGTAGCTACACTGAGAGTAAAAGGTAGATGGGATACAAGGAGAATAGAAGCATCAGGGAAGAGAGAGGTGAAGGTTTATAAACTAAAAGAGGAGGCAGTTAGGGTAAGATATAAACAGCTATTGGAGGATAGATGGGCTAATGAGAGCATAGGCAATGGGGTCGAAGAGGTATGGGGTAGGTTTAAAAATGTAGTGTTAGAGTGTTCAGCAGAAGTTTGTGGTTACAGGAAAGTGGGTGCAGGAGGGAAGAGGAGCGATTGGTGGAATGATGATGTAAAGAGAGTAGTAAGGGAGAAAAAGTTAGCATATGAGAAGTTTTTACAAAGTAGAAGTGATGCAAGGAGGGAAGAGTATATGGAGAAAAAGAGAGAAGTTAAGAGAGTGGTGAAGCAATGTAAAAAGAGAGCAAATGAGAGAGTGGGTGAGATGTTATCAACAAATTTTGTTGAAAATAAGAAAAAGTTTTGGAGTGAGATTAACAAGTTAAGAAAGCCTAGAGAACAAATGGATTTGTCAGTTAAAAATAGGAGAGGAGAGTTATTAAATGGAGAGTTAGAGGTATTGGGAAGATGGAGGGAATATTTTGAGGAATTGTTAAATGTTGATGAAGATAGGGAAGCTGTGATTTCGTGTATAGGGCAAGGAGGAATAACATCTTGTAGGAGTGAGGAAGAGCCAGTTGTGAGTGTGGGGGAAGTTCGTGAGGCAGTAGGTAAAATGAAAGGGGGCAAGGCAGCCGGAATTGATGGGATAAAGATAGAAATGTTAAAAGCAGGTGGGGATATAGTTTTGGAGTGGTTGGTGCAATTATTTAATAAATGTATGGAAGAGGGTAAGGTACCTAGGGATTGGCAGAGAGCATGCATAGTTCCTTTGTATAAAGGCAAAGGGGATATAAAGAGTGCAAAAATTATAGGGGGATAAGTCTGTTGAGTGTACCTGGTAAAGTGTATGGTAGAGTTATAATTGAAAGAATTAAGAGTAAGACGGAGAATAGGATAGCAGATGAACAAGGAGGCTTTAGGAAAGGTAGGGGGTGTGTGGACCAGGTGTTTACAGTGAAACATATAAGTGAACAGTATTTAGATAAGGCTAAAGAGGTCTTTGTGGCATTTATGGATTTGGAAAAGGCGTATGACAGGGTGGATAGGGGGGCAATGTGGCAGATGTTGCAAGTGTATGGTGTAGGAGGTAGGTTACTGAAAGCAGTGAAGAGTTTTTACGAGGATAGTGAGGCTCAAGTTAGAGTATGTAGGAAAGAGGGAAATTTTTTCCCAGTAAAAGTAGGCCTTAGACAAGGATGTGTGATGTCACCGTGGTTGTTTAATATATTTATAGATGGGGTTGTAAGAGAAGTAAATGCGAGGGTCTTGGCAAGAGGCGTGGAGTTAAAAGATAAAGAATCACACACAAAGTGGGAGTTGTCACAGCTGCTCTTTGCTGATGACACTGTGCTCTTGGGAGATTCTGAAGAGAAGTTGCAGAGATTGGTGGATGAATTTGGTAGGGTGTGCAAAAGAAGAAAATTAAAGGTGAATACAGGAAAGAGTAAGGTTATGAGGATAACAAAAAGATTAGGTGATGAAAGATTGAATATCAGATTGGAGGGAGAGAGTATGGAGGAGGTGAACGTATTCAGATATTTGGGAGTGGACGTGTCAGCGGATGGGTCTATGAAAGATGAGGTGAATCATAGAATTGATGAGGGAAAAAGAGTGAGTGGTGCACTTAGGAGTCTGTGGAGACAAAGAACTTTGTCCTTGGAGGCAAAGAGGGGAATGTATGAGAGTATAGTTTTACCAACGCTCTTATATGGGTGTGAAGCGTGGGTGATGAATGTTGCAGCGAGGAGAAGGCTGGAGGCAGTGGAGATGTCGTGTCTGAGGGCAATGTGTGGTGTGAATATAATGCAGAGAATTCGTAGTTTGGAAGTTAGGAGGAGGTGTGGGATTACCAAAACTGTTGTCCAGAGGGCTGAGGAAGGGTTGTTGAGGTGGTTCGGACATGTAGAGAGAATGGAGCGAAACAGAATGACTTCAAGAGTGTATCAGTCTGTAGTGGAAGGAAGGCGGGGTAGGGGTCGGCCTAGGAAGGGTTGGAGGGAGGGGGTAAAGGAGGTTTTGTGTGCGAGGGGCTTGGACTTCCAGCAGGCATGTGTGAGCGTGTTTGATAGGAGTGAATGGAGACAAATGGTTTTTAATACTTGACGTGCTGTTGGAGTGTGAGCAAAGTAACATTTATGAAGGGATTCAGGGAAACCGGCAGGCCGGACTTGAGTCCTGGAGATGGGAAGTACAGTGCCTGCACTCTGAAGGAGGGGTGTTAATGTTGCAGTTTAAAAACTGTAGTGTAAAGCACCCTTCTGGCAAGACAGTGATGGAGTGAATGATGGTGAAAGTTTTTCTTTTTCGGGCCACCCTGCCTTGGTGGGAATCGGCCAGTGTGATAATAATAAATAATAATAAAAATAATATATAATTTACTTGTACTCATCTTTGGTCCCAGTCATACTGAGACAATGTAGTAGTTTGCTTTTAATGTACAAGAATTGATAAGAGAAGTGTGGATTCTTTTATGGAAGGTGGTTCGTAAGAAGGGTTTGCAGTTTAACTAGAATATGGCTAACTTTTAAACAGAAGCATAATTTTTGTTAAGGTGTGAGTGATTTATTATTTTTTTAGAAGTCACTGATCTGCTAGTCTTTTGATGATAATGAACTTTATTAATTCTTAAAAGTAGCCATTATGTCTGATGTATTAACATTTTTCACTCTATGTATTGTAATCTTATTTCAACAGTAAAAATGGGAAGCCTCAGAAAAGGGGAAAAGTAAATCTTATTGGGCGACTACAGCTGAGCACTGAGAAGAGCAAAGAGGAGGACAATGAGGGCATTGTACAGCTGAGAATACTGCGCACCCAGGTCAGCGTTTTTGCATCACTTTTTGATGTTGTGTACCCTCGTTGCTTAGTAGCAAATGTGTGTGCTATGCTTTCACTATTGTATACCCTCATTGCTTAGTACCAAATACCTGCACTACCCTGTCACTATTGTGCACCCTCATTCCTTAGTAACAAATACTTCTACCACACTTTTACCATTGTGTACCCTCATTGTTAGTAGCAAATACCTGTGGTGCAAAGAACAAGTGGAGGTGCCTTGTAGTCTTAGTGTTCTTGTAAAAAAAATGCAAGAAATATGCCTGAAAATCTTAAGTCTATTCTTTTGTATTAGCGTAAATTTATAATCTTCCAAAATACAGTACAGATAATGAAAATGCGAGATTTGTAGAAAAAAGTGTATACCACTATATTTATAAGAAGCTTATAACTTATGTTGGTCATTCTGCACAAGGAGTGGTGGAAGGCTCAATCTATCTAATAAGAGTGAAAGAGACTCACTATCTAACTGAACCTGAGGGAAACTTATGTTTTTGTATGTAGTGTTAGTGTTTAAAGAGAAATCATAGAATAAAGATGTATATACTTAAAACTGCATGAGCAGGTAGAAAACAGTATAAAGGAAAATTGGCCCAAAGCCTTTTTAGGACATTGTAAAGTATGAGAAAACAACACAGTAAATATGTGATATATTCCTGTGCCAAGAGAATTAATATTTTTAAGAATATGGAATGAGTTCATTGTATTGCATAAAACACTTCAACAGGTGTGAGTTAATCATTGCAAGTGTTCATTCTTTGTGAAACCTTTAATGTACTTTAGTGGACTGAGCCTTCACCACCTTGCACTGAATAATATATAGGTTTAATTTACTTTGCTTCTTTCAGTATTTATTGAGGGGAATTTAATTTATTGTAGAGGTTCTGCAACCTTATCCTGCTTTATTTACTTGGAAACAATGTATGATTTAATAAGTAGAAGAGTTGGCTAACAATATATATATATATGTATACTGTATTCATAAATTTCCATATAGAATCATGCTCACAATGTAGTTGCAAGGAAAAGAGGTTGGATGTAAAGGAATGTTAGGATCATTGAAAGTATGGTATTACATAATAAGATTTTTAGTTGTTATAACTTAGAGGTAAGCTTTATAGACTTCTTAATTAGTATTTTCTGTAGTTTTATACAAACTGTAGTATAAAATCAAATGAGTAAATACTGATACATGTACATGTATTATGTTTGAAGAAATGTGTAGTATAAGATAAAAATAGCCAGGTTGTTAGTTTACTCAGATATGACACAAATGTTAAATGTTTGTTTAGTGCAAATGTACTTTTGATCCACAGGAAGCAATAGTGAAGATATTGAAGATGAGGAAGAAGATCTCTAATGCACAGCTGCAGACAGAACTAGTGGAGATGCTCAAAAACATGTTCCTGCCTAGTAAGAAACTAATTAAAGAGCAACTCGAGTGGCTCATAGAACACAAGTACATGAAACGCGATGATGATAACATCAACATATTCATATACATGGCCTAACCGAATCATAATGAACCACATCAGAGGAAAACCGTCTACGAGTGCAACCTCCTGGCACATCTTGCAGCTGTACATATATCCGAGTCTCTTGTGGCCAAGTGGTTGTTGCAATGACTGCTGCCTGCTTACTGTCTGGTGGCTGTTACTGTATAAATAATAGTTTATTAAGATTCATCACTCCTATTGGCCAGATAGTTAAATATTTGTTTCTTCTACCAAGCAAGCGGCCAGTGGTGGGTGTCGTGGGGCTTGTGCAGGCACGGGTCAACAGTCTAGATAGTACTATACTAGGAGCCAAAGTCAGGAGTGCTGCCATTTGCTCTACTACCAGTTGATCAGCAATTAATACTAGTGTCATAAATGAATGCCAAAGTTTTATTTAATATTTCATTGACACCAATAATATCACTTTCCAACCCTCAAAAGTGAAGCTAGTTAAAAATTTTAAGAACAGAATTAAAAAAAAAATTATTTCTAATTTCCACGAAGAAAACCTGGACATTATAGGATTTCCAAGCTACTGTCTAACAAACATGTATAAATAATTGGATGCAGTAATACTACTTCATTAGTTTTTACAGTTGAATTTAAGGGCTAAGAGCTGTTGTCTTACCTCGGCTCATTTCAAAGGCCAGCCCTATCTTAAGTGCACTACCATCCCTCCTTCCAGGATGTAATCCACAACAGCTACCTTACACCTAGGTATTTATTTACTTTTAGGTAAACGGGTGGCAGGTGGAGAGACTTACCCATGCCTCTTGCCATACTTGGGAATCAAGCCCAGGTTCCTTTGGTTGTGAGCTTAGCTCTCTACTATTGAGCTACAAATGATTCTTTAATCAGGGTGAGTTACTTATAATCCTGTCAGGTTAACTGGGTCTTGAAATTGTTGGATGCATCCAGTATTGTGGTATAAAAGAAGTAACTGAGATAGTTTCTAATATAAAGAGATTCTCCTTTGGAGATAAAGTTACATCACTGTCAGTTGTAGTACTTACTTTCATTAGTCAGCTGAATTGAGTGTTATATTTAGTTAAGTATTAAAATTCCATAACGTTTAAAGTCTCTCCAGCTGAGGCTCATGATGCATGTGGATAGAGCAGGGCAAGGTTAGGGAACAAAAGCTCAATCAAAATGGCAGCAGACTTCATTGTGATTCCCAGCTCTGCATACACATGACTATTGTGCCCTCATTTGTGCCTGCAGCATTCTGTGGGACCTCAGGTAGCTCAGAGATTAATAAATTGTGTGGCTAACTTGTGATACAAATACATATATATTCTGTAAATAAAGTAAATATTATAGTAATATTAAAGGTAGTATTTCTGAGCTGGGTTGTATTGATTTTTCTGGAAATCCTAGTTGTCACCTTTTCATAATTTGCAATAATAGTACTTTTTATAGCATCCTTATCTATTTTTTGTTTTATAGTTACATCAGAAGACCACTGTAATAAATTTATGAAAAGGTATAGTGAAAGTAAAAATGCATGCCAAATATATAACCTGAAATAGTCTCGCATAAAAAAATTATACACAAGAGTTGGGCTGGCTATTCCCTGCCACTATGCCCAAAAACCCATATGCCATGAATCTTATTTCATTCTTTCTCGTGGATATACTAGATAACGATTGTTCTATGAGGTTTATAGTAAGTGAAAAATGTCTGCTGCTGGTGGCACAGTATTGTAGCAGTGGCAAGATGGTAATTAATGACTAATGTGGATACTAGCTTGGATTCTGAACTATCATGATGTGTGATGTTTACATTGGTGCCTCAATCATGTTTGAAAATTTCTTGTTCAATATGAATATAGAGCATTCTGCTCTAGCTGTAGTTTTAATACCAAAAGTTTTTACCTATAGGAAATTTTTCTTTACCAGTTTTGCAAAGCTTTGAAATATATTAGCTGTATGGTAGCTAGTAGAAAAAGCTAAATCTTTTCTAAGAAGTTACTTCTGGCAAGTGATTTACACAAAATTTCCCAATAAGAATTACCATTATGTTTTGGTTACTACAGTACTATAAATCACAGTTGCATATGTTATCTGTATGTTGTCCAGAACAGGGTGATATAACACTGATCAGATTTTTTTTAAAGTATTTAAACCCAGTTTTAAATTATTCTTATACAGTATGTATTTAAAAAATTTTGCAATAAGCAAAATCTCTGCAAAGGTGTATTTATTTCATGAGCATACTGTCGAGACATGCAATCTGGCCAAGTAGTACCACTGTCGTATCACCATGAAAAATTGCCTTACCTGTGCCCTTGGCACTCATAATGTAAATATTATTGTAATTACTACTGTATTACCTATAAAAATGTCAACTGTCCAGAATGGCAAAATATGGAAATCAAGTGATTTTTTTTATTGGTATGTTATGTGACTAGAACAATTAGGATGATGCAGCATCATGTGTCCCTGTGTGATCTCAATAAACATCCTTTTTTTTTTTTCCCTCATACTCCTTACGAGTTATCTTGGACCATCAGTTATAATAGTTTGAGGTCATGATATAACTTGACTTTGTATGGTATGTGCAGAAGGAAAGTAATTTTCTTTTGAGGTGTAATTAAATGTTTGTGGAATTTTCACAGGTCTTGATCTGCTAGTCTTTTGATAAAAATGAATTTTATTTATACTTCAAAATATCTTACATAAAACAATGCCTGCTATTTTGAAAGCTGAATGCCATTTTCCCTGATACACATTTATGACTGCTGCAACACTTTTCTCTCCCTTTGAGATGCACAATAGCCAGTGCAGTACATCATTTGAGATATATTTTGGTTCATGATGCTTCTGGGACAAGTCTTAAGAAGATTAAATCTCACCTATTACATAAAGTAAGTCAAACTTGAGGTTTTTGTAAATTGTGTTGGCTTATTAACAGAATCTTAGGTGTGGAATAATTAATTATGTATTCCTTCCGTGTGACTGGTTACCCATGAAGTACGGTACTTCTATGAGGAAAGTAAATGCAAGGCCCTATTTTCAAATGACGCTTCCTTAGTTATTCTTAAATTTTAGTAAATGATTTCCCATGGGTTTCTTCTTATCTATAATATTCTTACAGTGACCCATGGTTTATCTATTTCTTGTCTAATCTTTCTGTGTTTACAGTATTTGTTCCTAGATAAAAGAAGACATGAAAAAAATTTTTTTTAGTATTTTTAGCAATTTATGTTTTCTAAGCCTTTCATTCATTGTTTCAAGAATAATAAACTTGGTAAACATTGTATAAAAGTAAACAATTAAACCATTAATATATTCTTGATGACCTTTATCAACTGGAATATTAATGTTAGTGCCTTGGACTTCTTGATATCCCACACTAAACAAGTCTTATGACAGTTGAATATCAAAAACACTCAAGTACCAAAAGGGAGTTGACAGGAAAAAATATGTAGACTCCATGCTTTCTTAATTGGCACCAATTTTCTACACCATCTGTGACTTTCCTCCTTTTTTTTGAACTATCCTCTCCTTGACACTTCCACCTCTATCCTTATACCATCGCTCTCCATGAATATAATAATGTAGTACATTATACAGTATAATGTGATTTCTCAAGGTAAAGGGTGCCTGTATCTGTTGCCAGTAACACCGCAAGTGTACAATTTTTAAATGTTTAATGTAATCAATTTAGTTCTCTTTAACCCTTTCACTATTGTTCATACAGATCTACGTCAGTGGGATCAGTGTTGCAGACATAGATTTACATCTTAACCATGGTGCCCTCAAATATGCTGAGCTGAAAATTTTCGCCTAGACATGAGAGAATGAGCCTGTATGGTGGGTGTGCACAGTATAAAAAAAAATCCTGGCCCATGCAGTGTGTGATGAGAACAGTTAACCTCTGACTTTGGGTTAAAACAACAACTTTGAGGCATTTTCTAGGGTGGTTTTCATGGTTTTATTAACTTTCTTGGTGCCAATGGATAGACCAGAAGATAGTGAAATGGAGATGATTTTGGTTGGTTTCAGACCAGAAGTACCTGAAATAATGGTGGAAATATTCAATTTTTGGGTGATAAGGACCCCCTTCCCTGGTCTGTTTTATGGGTTTTTACCACGTCTGCTGTAACTACTAGGATGGCTTAAACCATTACCAAGCAATCTTGGTCATATTTTATTAGCCAAAAAATGAAGAAAACTTGACTTTTTTGTGAAATGGAGTTAAAATGGAGGGCAATGATTAATGAACAGGGGAAAGGTTGCTTTAGTGTTTGTTTTGGAATTTGTTGAACTTTGAGCAAAATTAGCTATATTATAAAATTTTTGGCACTTTATAGTGGAATGGGCGAGTCTTGGGCTTAATGGTGAGGAAGGCATACTAGTAAAATAGCCAGGAATTTTCGATTTGAGTACTAGAATTGCCTAAAGTGAGCCTCAAAGTGGGTGAAATCACAGGTGAGTAAAGTGCTTCTAACTTCAAAATTTGCACCTGCATAATTCTGTAAATTTTACATCAATTTTTTATGTCATTATCTTCAGAAAAAGATTCTCTACCATTTTAGAAGATAATTTTTTTTTGTGACACTGACAGGATTTTTAATTTTAGAGGTAGCAACAGTGAAAGGGTTAACTAGCCTCTAATATTTACATTATAGATATTTGAAAATTATAGCTGAATGAATGAATTAGTAACACTATTATAGTCTTCCAATATTGGTTCATATTCTTATCATTCAGTAGTCTACCATTAATGGTTCATATTGCTACAGGAAAAACACTGCAGGAATGGTGGGGATATTGCAGTTTGGAGAGGCACCTGAGCTGTAGTGTCAGTACACCTCTGGCAAGACATTGATGGAGTGAGTGATGGTGAGTGTGTTTCTTCTTTTTTGGGTCACTCTACCGTGGTGGGAGACAGTCAGTGTATTAAAAAAATGATACAGGTTTCATTTGGTAAAATGAAATTAGTTTCTTATTGTATCCCTTAGTGCAAATAACTGCTTAATGTTTCAGAACATATGGGTGGCATACTGATCTTTCCTTATCAAGAGTCCCTCAGTGGCATAAAGGAACCTTTCTTGAGGAGTCCATGTTTATAAACCTGAATGAGCATTTGTGAGCACAATAATAATTCATGTTTAAATAGCAGTGTTGCAGAATATATGTAACTACCCTGTAAACTGTCAAAGTGATTGGAAAAAACATTTTCTATTAAAATAAGTTTTGATTTCCTCTGCTACAGGTACCTGTAACATCTTGCTGGCCTACCTGCTACAGCATCCTCAGTTTTATTTTTGCATGAATGTACAGGGGAATCAAATAATTACACCATAGGTTTATTGATGCAATATGTTTCATAACAGGTTTATAATTAACTTTCAACACTTGGATGGCTTGCTTAGCCTAATCTGTAGCCTTTAATGGAGATAGTGACCAGCATACTCCTCTTACAATTCTCCATCTATGCCTGGTTGTGGGCTAAAATTTATTTATTAGCAGATTGGGAGTCTCGAGTTTTGCACACCATGTTATAGTACTTGTACATATCAGTTTTAACAAATTTTAAAATATGACTGACTGGCTACAGATTTCTAGTCACTCTTCTCATTTAAATGGCAGACTTGCATAATATCATACTGAAATTTGAAGAAGTGACACATTATGCAGACCAAGTTTTTAATGGGACAACATTTTGATCTGTTATCTAATCACAGATTTTTAATTCTCAAATTAATTTTATACAAATGTATATTTATGGGGAAGTGCTAAAAAACCCCTCCAGGGTCATGCAGCACCTGGGGAATGGGATTATTAGTACATACAGGAGGGCCTTGCTTATATAGCAGGTTAGGTTCTGGGCTACTGTTGTAAAGTAAAAATTGCTGTAAAGTGAATCATAGCCTTTTTTTCACTTTCAAATGCATGTAAAAGCCTGATAAAATGTTTACACTATCATATATTAAGTGAGCAATAGAGCTAGGCCTAAAAAAATGCATATATGGTACACACATTACTTAACTTAAAATATTTTCATCCTTAGCTTATAGTGAGTGGTGAATATATTTATTGTAGGAAGTCTGAATAAATGAAGAATGGGTGTAATTGAAAACCACTGCATTAGCGAAACACTGTAAAGTGAAGTGCTATACTATATATTTATATGAAGCGCTAATCCCACATAGGTCATTCAGTGCATGGAAGGCAGTGGCGGAGGCTCAATCCTCCACCTACTAATCATGCAATAGATGCATTACTCTTGCAGTCAGCCAAGCTGTAACATACAGTCATATAGATACAAAAATTATATACACACTAAGTGACCACTTTATTAGGTACACCTGTATATTTGCTTGTTAATGCAAATATCTAATCAGTGAATCACATGGCAGCACCTCAGTGCCTAAAAGCATACATACATGATCAAGAGGTTCAGTTATTCATGCCAAACATCAGAATGGGAAACAAATGTGATCTAAATAACTCTGACCATGGAATGATTGTTGGTGCCAGATGGGGTGGTTTTAGCACCTTTGGGATGTGGTGGAAGGGGAGATTCGCAGCATGAATGTGCAGCCAACAAATCTGTAGCAACGGTGTGGTGCTATCATGTCAATATGGACCAAAATCTCTTAAGGAATGTTTCCAGCACCTTGTTGAATCCATGCCAAGAAGTATTAAGACTGTTCATGGGGCATAGCATGGGGGTGGGGGATATGGCATACCAACAAAGAGGGTGTGCATAATTAAATAGCTACTGAGTGTATATACAGTTGTCCCTTGAGTTACAATAATTTTAAGTTCTGATTTACCTTCATAAAGGAATTTAGTTTTGAGTTCCAGTGAAAAATTTGAGATACAATATGTATATAACAGTCAACATGCATGGGTGGGCCTCTGGTCAGAGACAACATAGGGTGAAAGTCTTAAATGTAGTGATGGTGGAGGGTTTGTTGGAGGTGAGTGGGTGGGAGTAAGGGAAGATGGTAGAGAGGAAGGCAGGCAGACATGTGAGGGAGACTGTATGTGTACCAAGACATGGGCAGTGGGAGGCTGTGATAACAGGAATATAAGTTTTAAGTCTACAATTCTTTACCAGTCTCTGCCTGCCTACCTGCCTGCCCAAATCTGTTCTGCCCTTCCAGCTTTACTTTGCTCTATATGCCCCAGCCTGCCCTGCCTGCTCTGTCTTGCTCTATATGCCTCAGTTTGCCCTGCCTGCTATATCTTGCTCTAGATACCCCAGCCTGCTCTACAATGCTCTACATTTCCCAGCCCTTCCTGCCTGTTTTTCCTTGCTCAAACTACCCTGTCTCCTGTGGTCTGCCTGCCTACCTATCTAAAATGGAGTGATGGTGGAGGGTGTGTTGGAGGTGAGCAGGAGGGAAAGGGGTAGTGGGAGACTATGCACACCAAATAAGGGCATTAGAAGACTGCGACAACAAAAATGTAAATATTAAGTCTGTCCTGCTTCTGCCTTCTCCTGCCTGCTTTGTCTATATATACATGTCAATAACAACACTGTGACTAGCCAAGGATTCGAACCCATGTCGTTTTGGCCCGCCTCATGGTGAGCGAAAATCACACGATGCTCTAACCCACAGGACCATGCAGTCCTACCAGAATCAAGCACCCAACAGAGCTAGGTGTTTTACCTTGATCCGAGGACACATGTGGCACCCACACCACCATATGTCCTCAGATCAAGTAAAACACCTAGATCTGCTGGGTGCTTGATTCTTGTAGGACTGCATGGTCCTGTGGGTTTGAGCATATAGAGTATGAGAGTATAGTTATACCAACATTCTTATATGGGTGTGAAGCATGGATGGTGAATGTTGAAACAAGGAGAAGACTGGAGGCAGTGGAGATGTCATGTCTGAGGGCAATGTGTGGTGTGAATATAATGCAGAGAATTCTTAGTCTGGAAATTAGGAGGAGGTGTGGAATTACTAAAACTATTATCCAGAGGGCTGAGGAGGGGTTGTTGAGGTGATTAGGACATGTAGACTGGATGAAACAAAATAGAATGACTTCGAGAATGTATAAATCTGTAGTGGAGGGAAGGCGGGGTAGGGGTCGGCCTAGGAAAGGTTGGAAGGAGGGGGTAAAGGAGGTTTTGTGTGCGAGGGGCTTGGACTTCCAGCAAGCATGCATAAGCGTATTTGATAGGAGTGAATGGGGACAAAGGGTTTTTAATACTTGATGTGCTGTTGGAGTGTGAGCAAAGTAACATTTATGAAGGGATTAGGGAAACCAGCATGTCGGACTTGAGTCCTGAAGTTGGGAAGTACAGTGTCTGCAATCTGAAGGAGGGGTGTTAATGTTGCAGTTTTATAACTAGTGTAAGCACGCTTCTGGCAAGACAGTGGAGTGAATGATGAAGAAAATTTTTCTTTTTCGGGCCACCCCGCCTTGGTGGGAATCAACCGATGTGTTAATATAATATCAAAATATAATAATATATGTAATATATGCCTTTTCATCCACTTCTTCGAGGCTATGGGTTCTGCAATTTACACCAGAGATGGACCCCTCTTATGTATGTATACAGAGGTCCCTCGTTGTTCGTAATTAATCCGTTCCTGGAGCCGTTACTATAAACGAAATTTACAATTTACGAATCAATTTTCCCCATAAGAAATAATGTAAATACAATTAATCCGTTCCTGACACCCAGAAGTATTAAAACAAAAAATTTTTAACATGAAATATACATGTAGTACATAAACAATACAATGGGAAATGATGAATGAAACATTAACAGCATAACACTTACCTTTATTGGAGATTCTTCTTAGTGTATGGGAGACTGGAGGAGGAGAGAGAGTGGATTGTTTATAGTCTGGAAGGGGAATCCCCTTCCATCAACACCTCGGGTACCATTTGCTTTTCTGGGGTTGCTTCTCTTCTGTTTCTTAATGCCACAAGGACCACCTTGAGAGTCACTGGAGTCCTGTCTCACAAAATAACTGTGGAGAGAGCTCAGTTTCTGGCGTCTCTTTAACACTTCCCTAAAATGGCCTAAGACTTTGTCACTGTACATGTTGCCAACCTGGCTTGCAACAACCTTGTTAGGGTGATGTTTCTCCATAAAGCTTTCCATCTTACCCCACATAATAAAAATCTCTTTAATTTCTGAAGAAGGCACCTTCTTCCATCTCTCTTCCTCCTCCTCTGCAGCAAGATTCTGAGCTGCGATGTGTTGCTCTTCCTGCTGAAGCTCTTGCAGCTCCTCAGTGGTGAGCTCTTCATTGTGGTCTTCCACCAATTCTTCCACATCCTCCAAACTCACATCCAACCCCATGGAACTCCCAGTGCCACAATTGATTTTACAACAGACATAGGCTCATTAGGGTCAGTCCCAAATCCTTCAAAATCCCTCTTGTCGACACAATCTGGCCACAATTTTCTCCAGACAGAGTTCAAAGTCCTGGTAGTCACTCCCTCCCAAGCCATACCTATAAGGGTTATGCAGTGGAGGATGCTGAAGTGTTCTCTCCAAAATTACCTTAGGGTCAAGTGAGTGTCTGTGGTCACAGTCAAGCACCTGTGAAACATTGCTTTTGTGTAGAGTTTTTTAAAGTTTGCAATAACCTGCTGGTCCATGGGTTGGAGGAGAGGAGTGGTATTCGGGGGCAAGAACTTTACTGTGATAACCCAAACTCCTCGAAAATTAAGTCATCCAAGTTTGGAGGATGAGCAGGCGCATTGTCCATTACTAGCACGCACTTGAGATCCAATTTCTTTTCCAGGAGATACTCCTTCACACTAGGGCCAAACACTTCATTGAACCACTCTACGAAAATTTCCCTCGTGACCCATGCCTTACTATTAGATTTCCAAAACACACACAATTTACTCTTCATAACATTGTTTTTCCTGAACACACTGGGATTTTCAGAATGGTACACTAATAATGGCTTCACTTTGAAATCCCCACTAGCATTAGCGCAGAACATTAGCGTCAGCCTGTCTTTCATAGGCTTATGTCCTGGCATTGCCTTTTCCTCTTGTGTAATGAAGGTCCTCTTTGGCATTTTCTTCCAAAAGAGGCCTGTTTCGTCACAATTGAACACTTGTTCAGGTTTCAGTCCTTCAGCCTCTATGTACTCCTGGAATTCATGCACATATTTTTCAGCCGCCTTGTGGTCCGAACTGGCAGCTTCACCATGCCTTACCACACTGTGTATGCCAGTATGGTTCTTAAATCTCTCAAACCAGCCTTTGCTGGCCTTAAATCCACTCACTTCACCACTATTTGCAGGCAATTTCTTTACCAAATCTTCATGCAACTGCCTAGCCTTTTCACAAATAAACGAAGTCATAAGAGTATCTCCTGCTAATTGTTTTTCATTTATCCACACCAATAATAACTTCTCAACCTCTTCCAGTACTGGTGATCTCATTTTTGTCAGCATAGTTACTCCCTTTGCAACAACAGCATCCTTTATTTCATTTTTCTTGGCCACTATGGAACATAAGGTTGTGTAGGGTTTCTTATACATTCTGGACAGTTCTGCCACACTTGTACCACTTTCATATTGTTCAATGATGGTTTTCTTAAGTTCAATCGTATTTCTCACCTTCTTTACCACAGGCTTGGCACTAGGAGCTTTCTTTGGAGCCATGGTAGCTTATTTAGTACTTGCAAGCACTAAAATAAATGGAATATTATGAAATATTTCGCTGGAGCACGCGAGGGGACCTTCGCTCACTGGTAAACAATGGCAGACTGGCTGCCGCCCTGGCCCAAGCCGTGCGTACGTGTCCCGGACGAACTACGACTCGCGAGTCAACCTATGAAAAGCGAGTCCATGTTTATACAAAAATACCCCTATGTGTATACCCCTATGACTGGCGAATTTTACGATTGCCGGGAACTACGAAAAGCGGGGGACCACTGTATATGTATGTATGTATGTATGTATGTATGTATATGTACAGTATATATGTATGTATTTTTTTTAACACTAGCCATCTCTCACCGAGGCAGGGTGACCCCCCCCCCCCCAAAAAAAAAAGAAACACTTTCACCATCATTCACACATAATCACTGTCTTTGCAGAGGTGTGTAGATACTACAGTTAAGATGCCCCTTTAAACTACAAATATCCCCACCCCTCCACCAGAGTGCAGGTATTGTACTTCCCACCTCCAGGACTGAAGCCTGGCTAACTGATTTCTCTGAAACCCTTCACAAATGTTACCTTACACTCCAACAACTCAAGTCCCAAAAACCATTTGCTTCCACTCACTCCTATCTAATAAATATCCAAAAAATATATATTTATTTATTTATATGTATATCTTTATATATCTTTATATGTATACGCTTCTAAACTGTTGTCTTCTGGGCACCTCTGCAAAAACAGTGATTATGTACGAGTGAGGTGAATGTGCTGAATGATGAAAGTATTTTCTTTTTGGGGATTTTCTTTCTGGGTCACCCTGCCCAGGTGGGAGATGGCCGACTTGTTAAAAAAAAAAATTGGATCACCCCTGCCTCGGTGGGAGATGGCCAGCATGTTGAAGAAAAGTAAAAATATATACAGTGGACCCCCGCATAATGATTACCTCCGAATGTGACCAATTATGTAAGTGTATTTATAAGAACATAAGAACATAAGAATGTAGGAACACTGCAGAAGGCCTACTGGCCCATACGAGGCAGGTCCTTATCAAAACGACATCTACCTAAAGCTACTCAAGAAACAACTCTCGCACCCCCCAACACCAATCAAACCCAGCCCCTCCCACTCATATATTTGTCCAGTCTCTTCTTAAAGCTGCCCAAGGTCCTAGCCTCTATCACCCCACTGGGAAGACTGTTCCACGCATCTACAACTCTGTTAGAAAACCAGTACTTACCTATGTCCTTTCTAAATCTAAATTTATCCAACTTAAATCCATTATTCCTGGTTCTTACCTGGTTCGACACCCTCAGTACTTTATTAATGTCTCCCTTGTTTATGCCCGTCATCACTTATACACTTCAATGATATCTCCCCTCATTCTACGCCTCTCCAGAGAGTGGAGATTTAAGGCTTTAAGTCTATCTTCATACGGGAGGTTCCTTACACAGTAAATCATTTTAGTCATTCTTCTCTGTATGTTCTCTAATGAGTCTATGTCCATCCTGTAGTAAGGGGACCAAAACTGAGCAGCATAATCTAAATGAGGCCTCACTAGTGATGTATAGAGCTGTAAAATAACTTTGGACTTCTGTTACTTATACTTCTTGAGATAAATCCAAGTAATCTGTTGGCCTTGTTGCGCACACTGAGGCACTGCTGTCTTGGCTTTAGATTTCTGCTTACCATGACTCCCAAGTCTTTTTCACATTCTGTATGACCAAGCTCTACTTCACCTAGATTATAGCTTCGAGGGTTATTTTCATTACCAAGGGGAAGTACCTTACACTTATCCACATTAAACTTCATCTGCCATTTCTCAGACCAAGACATTAATTTGTTCAAATCGTCCTGGAGTTCATTCATATCCTCCTCAGAGTGAATTATACGGCCTATCTTTGTATCATCAGCAAACTTACTCATGTCACTAGTAATCCCTTCATCAAGGTCATTAATGTAAATTATGAACAAGAGAGGGCCTAAAACTGATCCTTGTGGAACGCCACTAGTGACTAATCCCCATTCAGATTTCACTCCATTAATGGTAACTCTCTGCTTTCTATTGGTAAGCCATGCCTCAATCCATGCTAGAACTTTACCTCCTATACCATGAGCTGCCACTTTTCTTAAGAGTCTCTTGTGAGGTACTCTGTCGAAGGCTTTACTAAAATCCAAATAAACAATATCATATTCCTTATCACTGTCAACTGCCTCAAATGTTCTATTGAAGAACGTCAGTAAGTTTGTCAGGCAGGAACGACCTCTTGTGAATCCATGCTGAGATTCATTTATCAAGTTATGCTCTTCAAGGTGACTTCTGATAATGTCAGCTATAATTGATTCTAATAACTTGCCCACTATAGATGTCAGGCTTATTGGACGGTAATTTGAAGGAGTGGACTTATCCCCTGATTTGAATATAGGAACCACATTAGCCATCTTCCACATCTCTGGCACAACACTGGTAAGGATGGACGCATTGAATACACTCGTTAATGCTGACTAAGCTCCATCTTGCATTCCTTAAGTACCCTTGAAAACAACTCATCGGGTCCCGGGGACTTATTTTGTTTCAGTTTGTCTATCTGTTTAATAACCATGTCCCTCGTGACAGTAATATTAGTTAACTTAAATTCATCAGGAACTAAATAATTGTTAATTACTGGAATCTCATTTACATCTTCCTGTGTAAAAACTGACAAAAAATAGTCATTAAATAAGGAACACATTTCCAGTTCATTATCCGTCAGCTGTCCATTCCCAGATTTCAGAGGTCCTACTTTTTCCTTCACCTTCGTCCTATACACTTGAAAGAACCCCTTTGGATTAGTCTTTGATTCATTAGCGACTCTAATTTCATAGTCACGTTTAGCCTTTCTAATCGCCTTTTTTTACTTCTCTTTTAAGCTGAACATATTGGTCAGTAAGGTTAACCTCTCCTCTTCTGATGCGCCTATAAATTCCCCTTTTCTCCCCTAATAGATGCTTTAACCTCCTGTTAACCCATTTGGGATCGTTATTATTAGACCTAATTTCTCTCTGGGGAATGTATATACTCTGGGCACTGTGTACATTATAAGAAAACAATCATAAAAGCAGATCCCTTCATATTCATAAGTATGATTATCGTCAATAAAATCATTAGCTAGATAACCCCAATCAAGATTAGACAGATGTTCCCTAAGTCCATTATAATCGGCAGAACGAAAATCGGGGATTTTTACTGTATTATCATTATTCTTGCATTCCCAATTAATGCTAAAGGTGATGGATTTGTGATCACTTGCGCCAAGCTCTTCAGTGATCTCCAGATTATTCACTAGTGTTTCCTATTTGACAAGACTAGGTCTAGCAAATTATTACCCCTGGTAGGTTCAGTTACACTCTGTTTCAGAAAACAGTCCTGAACTGTTTCCATGAAGTCACTGGACTCTAGATTACCTGTCAAAGAATTCCAGTCAATTTGGCTAAAGTTAAAGTCCCCTACTATGACTACGTTACTGTGTCCAGAAGCCCTAACAATTTCGTCCCAAAGAAGTCTCCCTCTATCGTGATCCAAGCCTGGAGGTCGGTATATTACACCTAGAATTAGTTTTTCTTGACCCTCCACGAACTCTACCCAAACAGACTCTGTTACTGCTCCATCTATTTTTATACCTTTTTTTATGCAACAATTAATATTTTCTCGAACATACAATGCAACTCCTCCCCCCTTCCCATTACATCTATCCACATTGAATAACTTAAATCCCTGAATATTACTCTCAGCAGTCATATCCCGACTCTTTAAATCATACCACGTTTCAGTTAATGCAATGATATCAAAGTTCCCAGCACATGCTACCAAACGTAGTTCATTAATTTTATTTCTTGCACTTCGACTGTTAGCATAAAATACCATCATATGTTTTTTCTTCTGCACATTTTTCCTATTCATCTTTGTTTTTACACAATTTCTGAAATTATCATTACCCAGAGTTACTCCATGACAGTTACTATTAAGATTCTTAATATCAGAGCATAAGTCAATATATCCATACTCATTATTAATCATTTCTAAACCCATACCTCTAACTAATCCTAGTTTAAAGTCCTAACAACCCCCTCAACTGAGTTAGCAAAGAAAACCCACACCTGCCCTGGATAAGTGAACCCCATCCCTGGCATACATGTCATTTCGGCCATAGAAGTTGTCCCAGTTGTCAATGAATGGTACTGCATTATCCTTACAGTGTTTATCCAGCCAACAATTAATACCAATTGCTCTGGACAACCATTCATTACCAACACCTCTTCTTGGCAAAATGCCACATATAACAGGGCGCCCCCCCTTCTTCCTAATCATGTCTATAGCTGTCCTGAACTTTCTAACTAAATCCTCACTTCTTACGCTTGCCTACATCATTGCCTCCAGCACTGAGGCAAATAAATAGGATTGATCCCATTACCGTTCATGATGTTGTCAAGCCGGCTAACAATGTCCTCCATCCCAGCCCCAGGAAAGCATACCCTTTGTCTCCTACTCTGTCCTTCAAGCAGAATGCCCTATCCATGTATCTAACCTGGCTATCCCCAACAACAACAATATTCTTACCTTCCTTGTCGTTCGTCGTGACGATCCCAGTAGTAGACTCACATTCGTCGGGTAGCACCGAGAATGCGTTGGAGGTTTCCACGGGAGTTTCCACAGCAGTCTCTTTCTTCTTCATCGTTTCTGGCTTTCCATTCGTCTTCTTGATCGTCAACTTCGTCGTCCCCTGCTGTCCAGCCACTGACCACGATCCTTCTTGACCTGAGGACTCGAAACAGGAGGACTACTACGAATCCTCTTGTTTTCCTCGGTCAATCGCTGTATCTCCATCTTCGCTGCCTTCAATTCTTCCTTAAGTTGCTGGTAAAGTTGCTCGATGGAGGGCATCTTGTTCAGTCCACGGGAGCAAACAAGACACTTCTTCACAGAGTTAAGTACAGGTCAGCACTCAAAGTACAGGTCACCACTCAAGAGCACACAAACAGGTCTTCACAGAGCTAAGTACACGTCACCACTGAGCTAAGTAAGTGCGTTCGTACGTGTATGTTTGGGGGTCTGAAATGGACTAATCTACTTCACAATATTTCTTATGGGAACAAATTCGGTCGGTACTGGCACCTGAACATACTTCTGGAGTGAAAAAATATTGTTAACCGGGGGTCCACTGTACAGTGTATTTTTTTAAGATGTTGGCTGTTTCCCACCAGGGCAGGGTGACCCAAAAAAGAAACACTTTCACCATCATTTACACATAATCAATGTCTTTGCAGAGGCACCCAGATACGACAGTTCAGATGTCACTCCAAACCTGCAATATCCCAAACCCCTCCTTCAAAGTGCAGGCATTGTACTTCCCACCTCCAGGACTCAAGTCCAGCTAACCTTCCTGAATCCCTGTATATATATTTATTAGATAGGAGTGGAGGCAAATGGTTTTTGGGACTTGATGAGTTGTTGGAGTATGAGTAAGGTAACATTTGTGAAGGCTTTCAAGAAAATCGGTTAGCCGAGCTTCAGCCCTGCACTCTGAAGGAGGGGTGGGGATATTTGCAGTTTGAAGGGCATCTTAACTGGAGTATCTGCATTCCTCTGCAAAAACAGAGATAGTATGAATAATGGTGAAAGTGTTTTTTTTGGAGTCACTATCTTAGCTGGAGACAGCCAGTGTTAAAAAATATAAAATACACATACATACAAGCATGCATATATCCTGTATAACTTGATGATCTTAATATAAAAGCTTGATCTGCAAAGAGTCCTGTCTTTACTATATTCTTCAAAATTAGTCATTTCAGTTATCAATGAAAATTTACAGGAAATGTTTGGGTAGGGTTAATGTCACCATTTTGCATTTGAAGTCACTGAAATGCAGCTGTTTTAATATCCCAATGGAATATTTTATTGTGCACATTTTCATCCATAGCCATACTATTAAACTGAAGTCCTGAAACTTGTCTGCCACCTTTTGCACACTGACAACTCAGTGCTAAATATAGTCAGGGTTAATATGCTGTGTGTAGACCTTTTGTGATTTATACTGATAAAACTGCAGCCTTCACATTTAAGGATGGCAGGACTGCATGTTATATTGTAATGCAATGTTTTGAGCCACGATATCAAATCTGTATGGATTATTTACAGATATATTGTGAAATTATTCAAATAAAATAATGGTATTCTGAAACACCAGAATAGGAAAATTTAACTGTTTATAGTTCTTTTCTTATACTTTTGTGAGAATATATATTTAAATGCAATGGTGAAAATTTGTGGATAAAAGTATCAATGTGAACATGGCAAATCCCATGTAGGCAGTGATCATGGTGGTAGGTCAGTGTATGCTCGAGCAACTTCATCAGCTGCCTGATTCAAGTTTAATACCAGAGTTTGTCAAGACAGCTAGTGATGTATATGACTTTCAAAACCACAAAGAGTAAAAATGTTTTTAGTCCCACAGAAAAGCCACACAATGCTTAGTATAGCACAGGGTTTAAAAAAGAGAATGGTATCTAAGGACTACTGTTATCAGGATTTTAGGAATTTAAAATATTTTTAAATATGCTAATGCTTCTGAATGTCTCAAGTGCAATTAATCAATTTAAGTAGTACTGTATTATGGAGGAGTTACTATGGGCTTGTATGTTACTTAAAATAACTTATTAATGGAATGAACAAATAGGAAAAGTTAATGTGATACAAAGATAAAACACTCCTGCCAGACCACACACCCATTCCTCATGAGACCTGTGTTACTGCTGTCCCCATCTTGTATGCTGTGATGTTATTTTAAATAAATAAATGATTACTTAATTACTTCTTTCTGCCTTATACTTAGTATGGAAATTTACCTAAATAGCTCTGTACTGACATTTCCTGGTGTCTAAGAGAGTAATATAAGATAGTACTATTATATTTGCCATTAAAGGAATTTCACTAAAAAAAGTGTTCAACACTTTGCTATAGAATGGCTAGCAGCAGTGATGATGACACAATACTAATGTTTCTTAATGCAACAGCCGTTTGCCACTGAGGTAGGGTGACCATCCCCCCCCCATAAAAAAAACACGCTTCCACCATCACTCATTCAGTGCTAATATTAGGAGAATATTATAATGTAGTCATAAAAAAAAAGCCCTACCTGTATATCATTCAGCCCCAATATTAGGAACAGTATTTAGTGATACTCATTGTTTAAATTTATTTGAAAAATAACATTTGCAAATTTTTCTACAAATTATGTGTCAGCAGAGGAACAATTTTTTAAAATTTACTGAAAAAACTTAAGTATTAGTTAAATTGGTGTTAATGTTACCTTTTTCTTATATTCTTTTACCGTCTTTTAACCTCATCAGTTATGAGTCTCCATCGTCTTGCTTTTCCCACTTTGTTTTCTTCTCCAAGTGTTTGAGCAACTCGTTCCTTTCTTGCCTCTCTGCTTTTCTGAGTTTTTTCAAATGCTTTCGTTTCTTCTTCTCTTCCTCATCAGGATCTCTAATCAATTAAAAAATTGTTAAGGTTAATGAAGGGGTTATTTCCTCTCTTTTACAATTAAACTCATCATTGTTTCATCAGTACTTACACACCAAAACTTTTTCTGTTTTCACAGCTGTATTACCCTTGTGGGTTTAGCACTTTCATTTCTTTACCTATCCTTTTAGTACATAATACATCTGTAGTATTTGTAGTTCAAATAAAATTAAAATGTCAGAAGTTTACCTCTCAGAATTCAACTTATCCTGTTTTGAAGATATTTTAAGTAATATTCATAAAATTTTGAGAAATCTCTAAGGAAATTCAGGTAGTCAAATTCATCAGGCAAGCATATGGACAACTCAGTATTGTTATTGGGGAAAGCACAAATCCTGTAGGGATCAAATAGTGCCTGGGGAATGGAAGGCAAATAGGCTTGATCAAAGAGATGGACAGGTTAAATTCCTTGGATCAAGAGCCTTTCACTGGCATCAACTAGCCTCCCTCGGGTGGAGTCAACTTGGCAAAATAACATTAGAAGTTCTATGCATTCTGCTTCACATAATTATCCTTTCATATATCCTCACTATATCACCTATGACAACTCTGCCACTGCTCATTATACATCCTATGTTTACAATCTTATATACTTGTCAAAATTTCTACTACTTTATAGCAGTAAAACTTATGCATTCCTTATATTATCATTATTTTTTTTCTTTTCACACACCAGTAGCCTCCCACAAAGACAGGGTTACCCCAAAAAAGAAAACACTTTCACCATCATTCATTCAATTATTGCCCTGCCAGAGGTACAGTAACATCACAATACAGATGGCTCTCCGAACTGCAATATCCTCACCACTCCAATGGAGTGCAAGAACTGTACTTCCCACCTCTAAGACTCATGTCTAGGTAACTGGTTTCCCAAAATTTCTTCATAAATGTTATCTTGTTCATGCTCCAATGGCATGTCAGGCCATGAAAACTACTTTAGTCTAATTACTCCTATTTAACATGCTCACACAAGCCTGTCAGATGTCCAAACCCCTGGCATTAAAAACAGCCTTTATCCACTCCTTCTAACCTTTCCTAGGATTACCCCTACCCTCCTTTACTCTCAGATTTATCCACTCCACCCTCTGAATAATACCTTTGGTAATTCCACATCTGATCTCCAAGCTTGGAATTCTCTGTATAAAAGTCACGCCACACATTGTCTTCAAACACATCTCCACTGCCTCCTTGCTGTAATGTTTAAAACCAATGCTTCAAACCCATATGACAGTATTGGTACCACTATACCCTAGTACATTCCTAGTATGATTAGAGGGGAAGCACTAAACCCACAAGGGTCATACAGCACCTAGGGAATGGGGATAATTAGATTCAATCCAAGGAAAGAACAGGTCTAATTCCTTGGATCATGGGCCCCCCCTCACAACCTCAGGGCACCTCCTTCAAGGAGTTCTTTCATGTATGACTGGCAATACACTTAATATATAACCAGTGTTAGGAACCTATTTACTTCTGAAATACATCACTCTTATGCCAGCATACTACAGCACTGTACATTCATTTATCACATTTCTCATAATAATTTTACAATAAAAAGAAATTTTCTCACTCATAAAAATGCCATTCAATTTTTACAACACCATCTGATATAAAACTTTTCTTGTGGCAAACTAACAATCATTAAAACCTTACCTGCCCTCTAAGATGAGCCGTTTACGCTTGTTAATGTTCCGACGCTCATCAAAGTCAGTTTGTTCAAGCCTGATTTCTTGTTCTCGTCGAGATACATTAACTTGCTTCATGATCTTGCGCACCATAGCTTCATCCACCTGTAAATACAATATGTTATTAACATATTCATGTGAAAGCATTACACCCAAAAGGGTCGTAAAGTGTCACACAACAGAGATGAGAAATGGGAGAAAGGAAGTGGCACAGATGCTGAGATGGCAACACCAACAGAAAGGAACACGATGAGATCACAGGTGATGTAGCAAAGTAGAGGCAGAAAGTCTGCACTAAGAATGGGACTGTGAAGAAAGATGTTGCAGTAGTGACAGTGTCAACAGTGGCAGCATCAGTGACTCTCATCAGCAGCAATGCCAGTATCAGTGGCACTTGCAGTATCCACAGTTGCAGCACATGGTGAAGTCTGGTTGTCACAATACAAGATTAGTCACAGGTTAAAAGTAGCAACAAACTTTGATAAATTGGAATGGCCCTGCTATTTAGCCTGTAAAAAAAAAGGGAAGGGTGGGGGTATCTAGGGATGATCTGAAGAAAGGCAGGTGTTCTCTGAATCCTTATATCAAGTGCCTTTCATGATGACAAGGAACCCCTTTAAAAGGTGCTAACACAACATAATTCTGTACGAAGAGGTATTCTGTTTTTTTTTTTTTATCTTATCAGTTATTAAAAGTAATAACAACAAAGAATTCCTCAAGCTTCTTTAACTACTTATTAGCGCTGTATAGCCCTTGTGGTTTAGCACTTCTTTTTTATTATAATAATAATAACTTAACTACTTATTACATTTCATACTGACATGCTCAATTTTTCCTAACTCTTCTGTGTCTAATGTTCTGTAAGTTATTCAGAATTTAAATACAGCCCCAAAAATTATTTCAAATTTCATTACTATTGCCCATTCTACTTACTTTCAACTCAGTCATTTTCCTTCGTGTCTCTGACTCAATAGCTAGCAAAATCTTGATTTCATGTGGAGTGATGAAGGAAAGAGCCTGACCAGCCCTGCCTGCTCGAGCTGTTCGACCAACTCGATGGATGTAGTTCTTGGGAAGGTTAGGAATGGCATGATTGATTACCAGCTCCACCTTGAAAAATAAAATTATGCAGTATTAACAACATAAGCAAAAGCACTAGGAAAAAAATAAGAAAATGACAAAAATAAAAGCTGGCCAAGATAGAAAAAAAAAAACTTTCTGAAACTACTTAGAAAAGATACAAAAATAGACTATAATAACACAGAATTTTTAAGAAAGGAAGCTTGGAAAGACAATCATGTACCTAGTGGACCTCAGGTAATGTATGACCCCCAAAAGGTTTACCTCTTCCCCATGAATATAATAATATGCATTTTTAACACCAGCCATCTCCCACTGATATTATCATTATATTTAGGGAGAAGTGTTAAACCCATAGGGGTCATGCAGTATCTGGGAAACAGGAAGTAATCAGGTTTAATCCAAGGAAGAGGAGGACAAGAAGTGAAGGATAGCTTAGCATCAAAACACTATTGAAAAGGATCAATGCTATAACATGGTTATTGGAGAATTCTGCTGAAGAATGATATAATGGGAGATAATCAGAGATTTTTGATGCACCACAAGTGTTCACAAGTTTATTATATTAAAATTCTAGTATAATGTTGCCATTCCGAGGGTCATTTGAATTGTAATGTCTGTATCCTTCTGGCAAGGTAGCTATTGAATGTTATTATTAATACAATCAAAATTTAGTGCTAAACTCACTAGGGTCATATAGCAGCTATTGAATGAATGGTGATTTTTTTTAAAAAGAAGTACAAAAATAAATAAATTATTCTGAGTAACTCTTTTCAATACAAACCAAAGGAATATCCAGCCCTCTACTTGCAACATCAGTGGCAATGAGAACCTTCACTTGTGATGACTTGAATCGTGCTAAGGCAGACAGTCTCTCTTTCTGGGAGAGCATGGAGTGAAGAGCCACACACTCTATACTTAAGGAGTTCAGCAACATGCTCAGTACCTGCCAAGAAACACAAACCAAGACATGGCATAACCTCAAAATAGTCAATTCAAGTGTTAGTCATGGAACTGATTTTTTTATTACCTCTCTTGCCATCAGTGTTTATGGAAACGTAATCTTTCAACGTAAACCATGACAAGTATTATTATTATTACTGGGAAGCACTAAACCTATAGAGGTCAAACAGTACCTGGAGAGTGGGAGGTAATCTAGTTTCATCCAAGGAAAGTGAGAATGGCTTAATTTCCTTGGATGAAGATCCCTTTGCCAGCATCAAGGCATCCCCTTGAAAGGATTATTACCCTGTACATTAACAAGTATGAACTAAACCTGTATGAGTTGCACAAAGTCTGAGGAATGGGAAGAGTGGGAGGCAATCTGGCTTGATTGAAGGGAAGGACAGCTCCAAATCATTGCAACAAGAACACTTCAGTAGCATCAGAGCACCTTCCCTACCTACCTTGGAAATGATCATGGAAAGTAAAATCCTCAATGACAAGGTATTACTTTATTATTATAATTACTATTATTATTATATTACAATAAGGAGTGAGTACTAAACCCAAAGACGTCAAATAGTCCATAGGAGGCAATCAGGCTCAGTCCAAGGGCAGGATAATTCCATTTTCTTGGATCAAGAGTCCTCTAACCACCGTCAGGGCACCTCCCTGAGGTGTCTATGAAAAGGTAAATATGACTTCTAGCTAAAATTGGGCAGAATTTTATTTTACTACCAGAGATTTGCATTCAGTTTTCTGTTTAGGTAATAAGTACATAAATGCTTACGTAGCATCCCAGTCACCCCCACACTTATTTTAGATGAAGAATTACTCTTTATCAACTACAGAAACTTTTGCTCCAGTTAGTAAGTTTGTTCAGGTATACACAAATGCAGTTACATAGATTATCATACATAACAGCATAAGTGTAGAGAACCTAGGATAACCCAAAAAAGTCAGAGTGATTTATTTCCATTGGGGTCTTTACAGAGCATACTTGATATTTTACAGCTGAATCAAACTATAACTTCTATTTTCCAGAGAGGGAGGGACCAATGGGAGGACATGGGGTGCCTTAATACTAGTGAAGGGTTCTGGATCTATGAGATTAGAGCTACCTTCCCTTTCCTCAAATCAAACCTATTTATCTCCCTTTCCCAAAGGTGCTGTATGACCTCCTATGGGTTTAGCACTTCCACAATGAACATAATAATAATAATAATAATAATACTACTATGAGAATATCACCATCATTAAAACATAATTTATTACTGTGCTCTCACTATACAAAACTGGGCCAAACATTAGATATAACATTGATTTATTAACAAAGAAATTATAACATTTTTATTTCATCCACAGCATTTATTTCATATTCTTGCATCCTTCTATTTGACACTGTGGGACTATATATCTTGAAAGTTCTAACACTGGTAAAAGAATGGCCTTTTATTACTGGAGAAATATAAAGTGTATTGTATTTTTTTTTTTTTTTAATTTTGTTATTCTATGGTTCCTTAGAATTTATGAAGTAATTTTCTCATGTTTAGTTTTTGTATACTGTACCTGTGTATTCTTGCATGTATCAGTAAAAATCATTATTAAACCCCTTGGTTTCTGTTCAGTTTGTTGAAGAACCATAGCAATCATGGTGGCATCTTTCACAATGGGATTGACTAAAGCATAGCGCTCGTCCAGCTGTTGCACCGTTGCCTGTTTATTTCCTGATGACTGCCAAAGAAATACCTAGAAATATACAAATCCTTTTAACCCTTAAACGGTCCAAAGAGATTGACGTTCAAATTCGTAGTGCTACAAAAGTAGATCTACTTTTTTTTACATATTTTCAAATATAACAAAAAAAAAATGTAGATAAAAGTTTTTTTACACGTTTTCAAATGTAAAACAAAAAGGAAGATCTACATTTTTTTACATACTTTCAGATGTTGAAAAAACGTATACAGTGGACCCCCGGTTAACGATATTTTTTCATTCCAGAAGTATGTTCAGGTGCCAGTACTGACCGAATTTGTTCCCATAAGGAATATTGTGAAGTAGATTAGTCCATTTCAGAGCCCCAAACATACATGTACAAACGCACTTACATAAATACACTTACATAATTGGTCGCATTCGGAGGTGATCGTTATGCGGGGGTCCACTGTATATACATTTGGACCATTTAAGGGTTAAGATGTTTAAAAAATTCAATAGAGAAAAAAATAAATGAAGTCCTGCTGCTACCTGTGCATACACTTCTCTTAACATGTATCTCCAGCCCCACACACTCATCCACAACAGTAAGGGAGTGGTGAACCTATGCAGAGTATCGTGTCAGATACAGTGTGAGAGAGGATGGGTGTGAATAGAAGTGCAAGAGAGAAGGAAAGTGAGAGGGAGGTTAGGAAATGGGAGTCAGAAGGAATGAAGGAAAAGGGAAGAAAGAGGAACTGATGTGAGTACTATACAGTGGTACCTCGGGATACGAACAGCTCAAAACACGAACAATTATGTAAGTGTATTTATGTAAGTGCTTTTGTAAGTGTATATTTGGGGTCTGAAACGGATTAATCTAATTTACATTATTCCTCATGGGAACAAATTCTTTTGCTATCAGTACTCAAACAGCCTTCTGGAAAGAAATAAGTTCGTATCCCGAGGTACCACTGTATAATGCTTTTTTTTATTTCAGTTTTAAATAGTATAAATGAAATTAGGCACAGAATATCGTAGCTAAGTAATGCATCTTGGATTATAACATTTTTTTTTTTCAACACGTTGGCCGCTTCCCACCAAGGCAGGGTGACCCAAAAAAAAAAAAAAAAAAAAAAAAAAAAAAAAAAAAAAAAAAAAAATAAACTTTCATCAACATTCAACACTTTCACCATCACTCATACATAATCACTGTCTTTTCAGAGGCCCCCAGATATGACAGTTTAAATATCACTCCAAACAGCAAATATCCCAGACCCCTCCTTTAAAGTGCAGGCAATGTACTTACCACCTCCAGGACTCAAGTCTGGCTAACCAGTTTCCCTGAATCCCTTCACAAAATATTACTCCAACAGCTCGTCAAATTCCAAAAACCATTCGTCTCCACTCCCTCCTATTTAACATGCCTGCTGTATGTCTAAGCCCCTTGCACACAAGCCCTCTTTTACCCCCTCCTACCATCCTTTCCTAAGACTACTATATCAATATCAATTTCATTCTTCATAATTTACTTTTATTCTTTCTTTAATAAATTTCCAGTAAATTTATCTCAACATACATCTTTCATTTTCTTTTACCATATTTTTTATTATACAATACAGTAAGTGTTTATGAATGATAAAGGAAAATTATGTAAACAAAGGTTACCTCAGATGATGCAAGTTCTTTCATTCTCTCTAGCCTGTCCGTGATGGTTGCAGAGAACAGAAGTGTTTGTCTCTTCTCTGGCAGTGACGACCAGATAGTGTGTAGCTGAGAGTCGAACCTGCCATCCATTAAGCGGTCAGCTTCATCTAAGACTAAGAATTTTATCCTGAAAGAAAGAAAGAAGTCTTATATAAACATACCATTTAAATCTTAAATATTTCTCCAGATGGATAGTTATTCCATGGGCAAATAGAAAGTAATCACTACATTTGTGTAATATAACTTGGTATTGTACCGATTTATAAGCAATTTTCTATATGAAGTTTTATAACACTCCAGCTGTGTCTCACCAAGGTAGGGTGACCTGACAAAGAAGAAAATACTTTCACCATCCCACATTCAATCACTGTCTTACCAGAAGCATGCTGATATTACAGTTCAGATGACCCTCCAAACCATAACATACATGCATTGTACTTCTCACCTGCAGGAGTCAAGTCTGGTTGACCAGTTTCCCTTAATTCTTCCATAAATGTTACCCTGCTCACACTCCAACAGCATGTCAATTCATAAAAACCACTTGCCTCCACTCACTCCTGTCTAACACACCCATGCAAGCCTGTTGGATGTCCAAGCCCCTAACACTCCAACCCTCCTTTACCCTCTCCTTCCATCCTTTCTGAGGAAGACCCCTACCCCTCCTTCCCTCCACCTCAGATTTGTATGTCCTAGTCATCCCATTTTTTTTCCCATCCTCTCTAAATGTCCAAACCACTTCAACAACCCCTCCTCGGCTCTCTGAATAATACTTTTGTTAACACCTCTCGCTAATCTCCAAACTCCAAATACTCTGCATGATAGTCACACCACACAATGCCCTCAAACATGGCATCTCTACTGCCTCCAGATTTCTCCCTGCACCATTCAAAAGTCATGCCTCACACCCATACAACAATGCAAGTACCACTATACTATAAAAAGAAATGTCCCCACTGAAATTGCTGGAGTGCATTTTGGTTATTTAATGTCTTTCTTAAAGAATGCATGCATGTATGTATGTATATAAGTATGTATGTAATTTGTATGTACATACATATGTATGTATGTAGTTAGTCTGTGACCTAGCCTGAATGAACTTGTCATTTTAGAGACGTTTTAACACTTGAAAAATATAAATAAAAATATAAATAAAGGTAGGGAAGTTTTTATTGCATTTATGGATTTAGAAAAGGCATATGATAGAGTGGATAGAGGAGCAATGTGGCAGATGTTGCAAGTATATGGAATAGGTGGTAAGTTACTAAATGCTGTAAAGAGTTTTTATGAGGATAGTGAGGCTCAGGTTAGGGTGTGTAGAAGAGAGGGAGACTACTTCCCGGTAAAAGTAGGTCTTAGACAGGGATGTGTAATGTCACCATGGTTGTTTAATATATTTATAGATGGGGTTGTAAAGGAAGTAAATGCTAGGGTGTTCGGGAGAGGGGTGGGATTAAATTTTGGAGAATCAAATTCAAAATGGGAATTGACACAGTTACTTTTTGCTGATGATACTGTGCTTATGGGAGATTCTAAAGAAAAAATTGCAAAGGTTAGTGGATGAGTTTGGGAATGTGTGTAAAGTAGAAAGTTGAAAGTGAACATAGAAAAGAGTAAGGTGATGAGGGTGTCAAATGATTTAGATAAAGAAAAATGGATATCAAATTGGGAGGAGGAGTATGGAAGAAGTGAATTTTTCAATACTACTTGGGAGTTGACATGTCGGCGGATGGATTTATGAAGGATGAGGTTAATCATAGAATTGATGAGGGAAAAAAGGTGAGTGGTGCGTTGAGGTATATGTGGAGTCAAAAAACGTTATCTATGGAGGCAAAGAAGGGAATGTATGAAAGTATAGTAGTACCAACACTCTTATATGGGTGTGAAGCTTGGGTGGTAAATGCAGCAGCGAGGAGACGGTTGGAGGCAGTGGAGATGTCCTGTTTAAGGGCAATGTGTGGTGTAAATATTATGCAGAAAATTCGGAGTGTGGAAATTAGGAGAAGGTGTGGAGTTAATAAAAGTATTAGTCAGAGGGCAGAAGAGGGGTTGTTGAGGTGGTTTGGTCATTTAGAGAGAATGGATCAAAGTAGAATGATATGGAAAGCATATAAATCTATAGGGGAAGGAAGGCGGGGTAGGGGTCGTCCTCGAAAGGGTTGGAGAGAGGGGGTAAAGGAGGTTTTGTGGGCAAGGGGCTTGGACTTCCAGCAAGCGTGTGTGAGCGTGTTAGATAGGAGTGAATGGAGACGAATGGTACTTGGGACCTGATGATCTGTTGGAGTGTGAGCAGGGTAATATTTAGTGAAGGGATTCAGGGAAACCGGTTATTTTCATATAGTCGGACTTGAGTCCTGGAAATGGGAAGTACAATGCCTGCACTTTAAAGGAGGGGTTTGGGATATTGGCAGTTTGGAGGGATATGTTGTGTATCTTTATATGTGTATACTTCTAAACTGTTGTATTCTGAGCACCTCTGCAAAAACAGTGATAATGTGCGAGTGTGGTGAAAGTGTTGAATGATGATGAAAGTATTTTCTTTTTGGGGATTTTCTTTCTTTTTTGGGTCACCCTGCCTCGGTGGGAGACGGCCGACTTGTTGAAAAAAAAAAAATAAATAAATAAATAAATACAAAGCCAATGTTTTCAAGGTCCCTCCAATTACAACCATAAAACAGCTATTACCCACCCACCCACTCCTGTGCTCTAAGGTAGACATTACAAAATACATATGTGTAAGTTTTACCGTTTGAGTGTAAATTCTGGAGATGTTTCCAATATATCTGCCAGCCGCCCAGGTGTGGATACAACTACATGTGGAGACCGATTCAGTTCTGCACCCTGCACTACAATATCCAGGCCTCCCACGACCACACTTAATCGTAGTGATACCGGAGCTCCAAGAGCCCGGAACTGGTCAGCTATCTTCAGGATAAAATTGTTAATTCATTGAGAAGTTAAACGAATTTTGTTTAAAGATGCAGTTAAAATGAGTTTATAGTATCAACTTCTAAGCAATTATACAAGGTACTGTATGTACTACTACAGGGTACAGTACATATCTGATGTGCATAATCATTTTAAATGTGTGTGTATGTACATGTGAGTGCACAAGCATATGCACACACACTTGCACACATGCACCCACACACACTCACTTGTGCCTGCACACACACTATGTACTGAAGATGTACCTAAAATACATAATCATTTAAATGCATAATAAAATGCAGTACAATATTGTCAAATAAATTCCTGTATATTTTTATTTGAGGATTTACCAATCCAATAAATTTATGACAGATGAGTGAAAAAATGAATGTAAATGGAAAATGAAAAAAAGGGAGCAATTCATAGGGTATGACTACTCTTTACACTTTGGACATACCTGAAAAGCAAGTTCTCGTGTAGGTGTCAGAACAAGCGCATAAATGCCATAAGGGTCAATTGATAATCTTTGTAGTATGGGAATAACAAAAGCAAGAGTTTTCCCCGAACCAGTCTTTGCCGCTCCAATGACATCTTTGCCCTCAAGTGCAGGCTGAATGCAGTGGTACTGAATGGGGGTTGGTTGGTGAATCTCTGGTAGGTAATAAAAAGTGCAATTTTGAAAATGAATTTATATTTATAATTCACATAATAAATGACATTTTTATTTTGCCTACTATCTCCTAAATAAGTAATTTCTACAACAAACAACTATTTTTTCCAGGAAATGGATAACATGGTTGTATTTTTAAAATAAAATGTTAATGGATTTATCCTGGGGAATAAGTATGCAATGATCAGCTCTTTAATTAGAAGCATTAAGTTTGGCTTCAATGACTTTGACAATGAAAAAAATGAGAAAGTGACAATATTTATGGGACTAATTGCCTGCACAATGATTACACCTGTTATGATTTTTTAAAGCAACTGAAGTGATAATACTGACAGGAGACTAATATTATAATTGTGGCTCAAATGATGAGCTAATATATCAATTTAGGGGAAGGGGATATGATTACATTCATGGGGAGAACTAAACCCATAGGGGTCATACTGCACCTGGGGAAACAAGAGGCAATTAGGTTCAAGGGGAGTACAGGTGGAATTCCTTAGATCAAGAGACCCTCACCAGCATCAAGGAATCTCCCTTGAGGGATAGGGAAATTAGATATACATACACTAGATATCTCTCTTTCACTGCAAAAACAATTTTCATTACATGGAAATTGTGAAAAATTACATTAAATGGCTTTTCTTAAAGTACATATTGTAGACAGTATGCCTACCCAACTTTCACATACCTCCCACTAGGGAAAAATTACTGGCCTATAGCCTGGTTTCAGCAGTGCTCGGCAGAGGACAGGCACCTAGGGCGGTCCTTGCCTTGAGCACCTGTCCTCACTTACAGCCCAGACGTTTACTGTACAACATCAGCGCTCTTCCCCGGTAACTTGGCTCCGGGCTACCCTACTCACGTCTGCCTGGTGTACCCACATAGCCAATAAAACTTTAGTCTACGTGTCTATATAACCTGAATGCTACCACGCCAGCACATTTCATGGATATCTATGCAAAACACCAGCATTACAATATTATGCAAATCATTTTTATCATGCTTAAAACCAAGACAAAATAAAAAATAGCAAATACTTAATATAAAAATTATAAATTTGCATAAAAGTAAATGAAACTAAAATTATCAGCAGCATTCCATCAAATATTTATGAGGGTATCTTCAATACTATTATTATAATAATTATAGGAAAGCAATACCCAAAGGCATCATACATTACTTGGGGAATGAGGCAATCAGGAAAGATCCAAGGAATGAGCCGGTAGCTCCATTTTCTTGCATCAAAACTTTATCAGTAACATGGCACGTTCCTTGAAGATGGCACCTTCCTTGAAGATGGCACCTTCCTTGAAGAGGGCACCTTCCTTGAAGATGGTACCTTCCTTAAAGATGGTGCCTTCCTTGAAGATGGCACCTTCCTTGAAGATGGCACCTTCCTTGAAGATGGCACCTTCCTTGAAAATGGCACCTTCCTTGAAGATGGCACCTTCCTTGAAGATGCCACCTTCCTTGAAGATGGCACCTTCCTTGAAAGGATGGCACCTTCCTTGAAGAGGGCACCTTTCCTTGAAGATGGCACCTTCCTTGAAGATGGCACCTCCCTTGAAATGGCACCTTCCTTGAAGATGGCACCTTCCTTGAAATGCACCTTCCTTGAAGATGGCACCTTCCTTGAAGATGGCACCTTCCTTGAAGATGGCACCTTCCTTGAAGATGGCACCTTCCTTGAAGATGGCACCTTCCTTGAAGATGGCACCTTCCTTGAAGATGGCACCTTTCCTTGAAGATGGCACCTTCCTTGAAGATGGCACCTTCCTTGAAGATGGCACCTTCCTTGAAGATGGCACCTTCCTTGAAGATGGCACCTTCCTTGAAGATGGCACCTTCCTTGAAGATGGCACCTTCCTTGAAGATGGCACCTTCCTTGAAGATGGCACCTCCCTTGAAGATGGCACCTTCCTTGAAGATGGCACCTTCCTTGAAGATGGCACCTCCCTTGACAATAGCAGCTTCCTTGAAGATTGCAGCTTCCAAAGACACTTACTTAACTGGTTCAACTGCTTTATCACCCAAGGCTGAAGTCCCTGGATGTCCGCATAAGTTCTCCCGCGGGTGTCCTCACTCACAACATCTGCCATATTCCCCTCTTGTAATTGATAAACTTGTTAGGGCCACCACAGTACAAGAACTAAACCTTGCCTCTTAAGGTTCTGGAAGACGAGGTTCAAAGTAGAGCAAGGATTCAGGGATAGTGGGCATTGATGCCAATATTCATTGTTGTTGCAGCTTAAACCGTATTAACCACCGATGTCCGGGGAGGCAATACTGCACAACTATAGACGAAAACAAATAAAAAAAAAGGGGGGGGGGGAACAAGTGACCTCTAACACGTGAGCAGAGATGTATGAACATCTACCATCTTTGTTGTTGTTTTGGGAGTTGTTAAGGGCCATCAAAGCTTACATCTAATTGAACCCAACTTCCCATTCCCCATATCAATACCCCAATACCCAACATGTGGGAGGTAGTACAAAGATTGCAGAGGCGCATAATGGATCCAGGGACTGGGTCACGAAGTTTTGATAGCTAAAAAAAATTACAGTGGTAATGAAGTATTTACATGTTCATATTTGGTTACAATCATAATTTGCATAAATGGTTTAAAAAAAGAACAAATTGATAATTGGGGCACTGGGGCAACATTTAGGAATCTTCATTCTGGAAACTGAAAAGTTTCACAAGTACAACGATAAAGGTTGCGAATGACAAATTTGTCACTACAAATAAATTTTATGGAGTTATTGAAGGGGAGTGGTGAAGCAGAGCATAAGAATTTACAGACGGTTAACGGATATAACAGTTATATGAGAATAGGTGCTTTTAACAATATTAGTATCTATTAAATATCACATAAATGTTAGAGCCATTAGGTTCAAAGGTGCGCCTGCGTTAAGGTGTTATACTGGGACCGGTACTGTTTTTTGGGTACGGACACAACATGCCAGAAAAAATCGAGTCAAAGTGTCCTTGTTTGCAAATGATCTAAACCTAATGAAGAGTATACAAACTGAAGCAAACCAGAACTGACTACAAATGGATCTGGACATACTACAGGATTGGTCTCACAATTAGCTATTAGAATTTAACCTTAACAAATGCAAAGTTATGAAAATTGGGGAAGGGCAGAGAACTCTGGAAATAATGTAGAGGCTCAATGGACAAATACTACGAATTTTCCTGAAAGAGAAGGATCTCGGGATGAACACAGTTATGGGTATTTCTCTCACGGTACATATCAAATGAATAACGGCCGCAACAAATACAAGACCTACGACCCTATAACGGCATATGTCAGGTCCATCTTGGAGTACGCAGTGCCAGTATGGAACCTACATCTGATAAAGCATGTCAAGAAGCTGGAAGAAGTGCTAATGTTTGAAACGAGACCAGTCCTAGAGCTGAGGGACATGACCTAGGACGAGACACCAAAGGAGTTAACCCGTATGACGCTAGAGAACATTAAAACCAGAGGTGACATGATTACGACATACAAAATACAATGCGATACAACTGTACTTCTTTTCTGCAGTATACAAAATGCAGTTTATATTTAATAAAATAGTGTTAAGCACAAAAGAAAGCCTTTGCAGATGACACCCGAATCTGCATGACAGTGTCTTCCATTGCAGACACTGCAAGGCTCCAGGCGGACATCAACCAAATCTTTCAGTGGGCTGCAGAAAACAATATGAAGTTCAACGATGAGAAATTTCAATTACTCAGATATGGTAAACATGAGGAAATTAAATCTTCATCAGAGTACAAAACAAATTCTGGCCACAAAATAGAGCGAAACACCAACGTCAAAGACCTGGGAGTGATTATGTCGGAGGATCTCACCTTCAAGGACCATAACATTGTATCAATCGCATCTGCTAGAAAAATGACAGGATGGATAATGAGAACCTTCAAAACTAGGGAGGCCAAGCCCATGATGACACTCTTCAGGTCACTTGTTCTATCTAGGCTGGAATATTGCTGCACTCTAACAGCACCTTTCAAGGCAGGTGAAATTGCCGACCTAGAAAATGTACAGAGAACTTTCACGGCGCGCATAACGGAGATAAAACACCTCAATTACTGGGAGCGCTTGAGGTTTCTAAACCTGCATTCCCTGGAACGCAGGAGGGAGAGATACATGATTATATACACCTGGAAAATCCTAGAGGGACTAGTACCGAACTTGCACACGAAAATCACTCACTACGAAAGCAAAAGACTTGGCAGACGATGCACCATCCCCCCAATGAAAAGCAGGGGTGTCACTAGCACGTTAAGAGACCATACAATAAGTGTCAGGGGCCCGAGACTGTTCAACTGCCTCCCAGCACACATAAAGGGGATTACCAACAGACCCCTGGCAGTCTTCAAGCTGGCACTGGACAAGCACCTAAAGTCAGTTCCTGATCAGCCGGGCTGTGGCTCGTACGTTGGTTTGCGTGCAGCCAGCAGCAACAGCCTGGTTGATCAGGCGCTGATCCACCAGGAGGCCTGGTCACAGACCGGGCCGCGGGGGCATTGACCCCCGAAATTCTCTCCAGGTAAACTCCAGGTCTCCAGGTAAACTAGCATGCAGTTCATTTTGGGCAGACTAATTACAATGCTTACAGACTACTTAAGATCTAGACATAGGTTAATGATTAGGAGTCTTTTTTAATCCTGAGGTATTGACAAGGAGGACTATTTGAGAGGCGAGTCTCAGATACACGAGAGCACAGCTGGAAGTTAAAATCACAGATGAATTACAGACACATTAGCAAATTCTTCTTTAACCTTACAATGGTCAGAATGTGAAACAACCCAGACAGCGAAGTGGTAGAGGCAGGAACCATATATAGTTTTAAGGACAGATAATGATAAGGCTCACTCAGCTAGGAGAGGGAGCCCCGTAACGACCAGAGGAAAAGGAGCTGAGACTCGATCCCTGCAACCACAAACATGTGAATAGGAAAGTAGTATATTCCCCTACTAGAGTCAACAACAACAGGATTTCTTTAAACCTATGAGCTGTTGCAATCCGCCATCTACGTATCCTTGTTTTGTAAATATTGCACCACGTTCATGTATGACTTAATTATTTTATTATCTGAGACAATATGTCAAAATAATTATAAATTTATTAAAGTGTTTCGTAAGATTTCACTTAGTATATAGCACATATTTTAATAGTACCGTTGTCCTGTGTGATCTTTAATCCCCGTCTAGAAATAATCTGGAGTACCTGGAGTTTACCTGGAGAGTTCCGGGGGTCAACGCCCCCGCGGCCCGGTCTGTGACCAGGCCTCCTGGTGGATCAGAGCCTGATCAACCAGGCTGTTGCTGCTGGCTGCACGCAAACCAACGTACGAGCCACAGCCCGGTTGGTCAGGAACCGACTTTTGGTGCTTGTCCAGTAATGTTTCATTACTAAATACACATTGTGTCTTCTTACCTCTCCACGACTTATGGAGAAGTAAGACGATACTTTTCTATAACTTGGATATGAATGAATGAAGGGCGGCTAGTTCGAACGTGCGCCTGCGTTGCAAGTACCAGGAGAGTGCCATCCTAACATCCACCAAACCTTCTCTAACTCTTCCTCATTGCACACTACTGCTATTTACCCTTCTACATATACCTTAAACTGTTCTTCTGGGATTCAGAATATTCAGAAAATATAAGATATTTATGGAGATTAATGGAAATTAAGGTGGCATCTTGCGCTAACTGGCACCAGTGACAAATTCCCCTCTTCCTGAGACTGCCTCCTCAGTTTAACATTTGAAAGAGAAGGTGATACCTCCCGTTCTCTCCTCTGTGCTGCTTCTGCCTCCTCTTACTCTATCCCGACATGTCTCTTGCTCTGCCATCCGTCTAGCATCATGGTGAGTACTACGACACAACTTGACATTCCACGTCTTTTGTAATTATATTTGTAATGCGATTTCTCGTCTGTTTGGAAACTTTCTAGTTCAACATCTGCGTATGAGAAGAAGCAGGATAAACGTGGGGAGACAGCAAGGTGTGATGAACTCCAAGACAAGACGTGAGTGAGCTTGGCGTGACCACCTCCGGATATTGTAGTTCAATACTGGAAGAAGCAATTCAACAGTCCGGATATAAGAATTAATCGCAACTTCCCATTCAATCTCCTTTATTTCTGAATCAGCTTTTTATATTTATATTATCTCCTGCCAGTTTACAGCAGTAAGTGTTGTAATATACTCATAGGAGAGGAACAAGACAAGAGGATCAATGCAATTAAAAGAGATAATTATTTTCTTCCAGCGGCACCAGCGTCTCAGGGACGGTGTTGCCACTCGCAGGGTTTTATTATTGTGCTGCTGCATGACCCATCAAACATTTTATTTATTCAAATTCAAATTCAAATTCAAAGTTTATTCTCTATAAGGATTACAATGCTGAGTTTACAGAAATTTGGTTATTGTGTGGTTTACATGTAGTAAAATTGTGATTACAGAGTGTACCACTGTATCGTATTTATACTAAATACGATACATTCTTGGTATAATTTCTTTTTAAACATTACAATCTACCAAAAGTACAGTACTAATGCAATGGATATAGATTGCGCAGCATAAAAATATAACAAATCCTGCCTTATCAAAACTAAATGCGTCTACCAATGCATTTTGCGATAATATTGTTTCAGTGTTTTGTAACACATTATAGGAATACATTAGGCCTACCCAGACATACATGACACGTTATGTGTAATACTAGTATTTTGTTGTTGTTTAAATGTAAGTTAAAATGTTTAAAAGGATGTCGTTTTAGCGTTATGTAGACATGGAACCTTCGATAATCCAGTAAAGCTAATGGGATTTATTTTCATTGAGGTACTGCATAATTAGCGGGAGCATGAGTACACCCACGATTGGTAGTGACTTGTACTGGTGACTGGTTGAGAGTTGTAGTGGTGCGGGTACTGGTGACTGGTTGTGAGGTATACTGGTAGTGACTTGTACCGGTGACTGGTCGAGTTATACTGGTGCGGGTACTGGTGACTGGTTGAGGTATACTGGTAGTGACTTGTACTGGTGACTGGTCGAGTTATACTGGTGCGGGTACTGGTGACTGGTTGTGAGGTATACTGGTAGTGACTTGTACTGGTGACTGGTCGTGGTGCTAGTACTTGTAGTGGATCCTTAAAAAACATCTATAACATGGTTTTTCTTCAGACATGATTCACTATGAACCATACCCCCGGCCGGGATTGAACCCGCGGTCATAGAGTCTCAAAACTCCAGCCCGTCGCGTTAGCCACTAGACCAGCTAGCCACAATAAGATTCATCCAACTAGGTATATTTCTACACCATAGGAAGGTTAGCACAGGCACCTCTGTGACCACAAATGCAAGTGTAAAAACTTGCATTTGTGGTCACAGAGGTGCCTGTGCTAACCTTCCATGGTGTAGAAATATACCAGTTGGATGAATCTTTGTGGCTAGCTTGTCTAGTGGCTAACGCGACGGGCTGGAGTTTATGAGATCTATGACCGCGGGTTCAATCCGCGGGGGTATGGTTAATTTGCAAATCGTTGTCATACGATTTCTTAAGTATGATTCACTATGATTTTTACTCACTTTATTTTGAAGCCTATTGCTGGGACGTCTTTAACCTGAGCACCGTCTTACCACCTCATTTCACTATTCACACTGCGGCTTCTCAAGGAACATCTTTTTTTTTGCTGTGTCTTGATGTAATTCTTCTTGCACACAATACCCCGTGGCCTGGTGGCAAAGCTCTTCGCATCACACGGGAGGGCCGGATTCGATTCCGGAAATGGTGAAACATTGGACTTGTTTCCTTACACCGGTTGTCTATTTTCACCCATCAGTAAAATTGGTACCTGGGTGTTAGTCGACTGGTGTGGGTCGCATCCTGGGACAAAACTGACATAATTTGCGAGAAATGCTCTGTATAACAAGGGACTTTCTATATAGTAGTATGTCGTTGATGTCAGCTATGGTCTGTATAAGTTGTATCATGTACTTGTAATAAATAAAGATATTATTATTAACACGTTTCCACACTAAACAAGCATCAAATGAACATTTGGAATATTATCGAGCTATTCATTCTGCCTGAAGAATCATTTTATACATATAGTTTATAAAATCCTTCATATGATCATGTTACCGGCGTATCATGATGTTGCAAATAATTTTGATCTTTGGTTCTCAATCTGTGGGCTGCGGACCCCTCCGACAACAGACTGAATTATTCCAAGGAGTTGATGACGCTTCTCAATAGGTATTATTCTTCCTGCTAGAGCTTGATTTTCACAATTGAGTCTAAAAGCACAGTTATTGGCATTCGACAGTCTGCATTCGCTGCTAAATAATATACCTAGCTCCCTGGATCACGCACAAAATTTAAATTAACATGAGTAAATGTAATAGGCGGTGCCAAACAAGATGAACGACAAATTTTCCTAGCAGACAAGAGGAAATACTTCTCCTCATAGAATGCTTTAAACATACTACTACCTACATGGAGTCCACTTGGAGAGTAAGAGACAATCAGATTATATCCCTGGGGAGAATTGGCCCAATTTCTTGCATCAGGAGCCCCTCACCGGCATTAGGGCACTTGCCTTGAAGTGACCATACCAGTGATCCGTCTCATGTAACGTAGGCAACAGAGTAAGGTGCCTGACAAAACATAATCGGCTGTCTAAAAAAATGTACAAACACAGCATATACATATTTATTACTGAATAAAATATTATACAGTTCTGTATAACATGATTGTTACATTATTCACTGTCACTCAAGTTCAGAGTGTTTTGTTCAATAATTTCTTCCAGCTGTTAACCCTGGAAGGTTATTAATCAAGAATAACCTAAGTCAGCAAATTATTATTATTTTCATAGTCATTATTATTATACAGGAGCGCTAAACTCGAAGAGATCATACAGCTCTTGAGGGATGGGACTTAGGCTCCATCAAAGGACCTATCTAATTCCTTGAATCAAGAGCCCCTCACCAATATCAGGGATGGTAATTTCACTTGTGGCCCCTCGGTCCTCCTCCAGGATGCCACCCATAACAAACCATAACCACTAGCAGTCGTAGGTTGAACACTTTATAACTACAATAAATGCAAGTGTTTAAGTACAGTGTAGTTCATGTCCTGCTATATAACGTATTCTCCAAGTGCAAGCCATGGAACATGAATATTTATTCTTTATCACACTATGTATGTGTCGTGTGTTTTAAAGTCAGACTGGGCTTCCAAAGGAACGATTTTATCTTACATGCTCAAAATAAATTAGGTGAAACTCTAAAAATTATTTTTTTGTGTGTGTGTATTAAATAATACTAATTCTATTTAGGTTCAGCCAAGATAGAATGGGTGTGATTAAGATAAATTATATTACATTGATTTTATTCACCAAATTAAAAATGTGTATTCAATGTTAATTCACAAAATATATCACATATCAACGTTGGGATTTTTTAAAAGTTCTACTTTGAGGACATGCCTTTTGAGCTCTTACGATAACAGCATATGCAGGTTTGGTAGATTTGAAGACTGTCTCCTGCAGGAGGGTCATTAAGCTGCAAGTCACCTGTACTCCACAAGTCAGGAATACTTTAATCCTAAAATTGGGGCTTAAACTCCCAGTGTACATGCACTGAGATATACACCCTTCAGTGCACATACATCCTTGAAACGAATATATTGTTAGAGAGACATTATTAAAATATTCCTGGAGAAGCACTAAATTCATAAGCGGTATGCAACTCCTGGCGAATTGGGAGGTAATCAAGTTTGATTCCAGGTAGAGAAGGGTAGCTCTAATTCCTTGGATCAAGAGCCTTTCCCCATCGCCAAGGAATAATACCCCTTAAAACTACATAAACACAGGAGGCTCCACGTACACTGGCCACTATCATTATCTGTTCTGGTAACGCCAACCGTCGGCTTGGTAATGAGGCACGTACTGTGAAAAAAACGCGCGTTGGGAATTGTTGCAATTATATTTTGAGTTAATTATATTCCTTCTGTTAAGTGGAATGAGGGAGGAGGGTAGAGGGAGAAAGGAAAGAGAAGGGAGGGAGGGAAGGAAGTGACTAACGGGAGTGACTTGCTAGTATAACTCTCAAACAAAATGCGCTACTTGTATATTGGAAACATTTAAAATTGCACTTTAAAAACGTTGTCTAAATGTTTGCAAAATGCTGTCTTAAGATGACGTGTAGCTCAGTGGCAGTGCTCGGCTCACAACATGAGGGACCCGGTTTCGATTGCCAGGTGGGGCAAGACGTAGGGACGTCCAATTACATCTTCTGCACTTGTTTAGTTAGCAATAAAGTGACCTATTTTACTCCATCGTTGGTTTTGTATTCTGTTAACTTAAAGCCGATTTATCTTCATACGTTCCAGGTTTTAAGTCATACCGTTTTATGTTCTCCAGTTGTAGTAAATAGAAGACTTTTCCTTATAAGGATGGGATGAGTAAGTATGGGTACCTGGATGTTTGTGAATAAATGGTTTACAAAAACGAACAAGTTGATAAATGAGACACTTGTGCAACATTTGGGTATTTTTATTCTGGAAACGTTTCGCCACACAGTAACTTCGTCAGTCCAGTGCAGAAAAACGTGGAAGCTGAGGAGTTTGAGGTAATCAGTCCCTCAGCCTGGAGTCGTTGTTTCCGTTCCATCAATTTTTACAAAAGTGCAGCATATTTGCGGAGATGGAGCTTATATACTGATGACAGATGAGGTGGAACAGTGGTAGTCGGAGTCACCAGTGAACAAAGCCACTAGTGGAAGTAGGTCGTGTCTGTAAGTTAAACAAGTTTTGAGGAAATCCCTGCATCAAGATCCTAAGATGTTGCTGTGCTGACAGGATGTGAATAAATGATTTACAGAACCGACGAGTTCATAAATGAGACACTTGCGCAATATTTGTGTATTTGTGAATAAATAGTTTACAGAACCGATAATAAATGAGACACTTGTGCAGATGTTGCATGAGTGTCTCATTTATCAGCTTGGATGTGTGTTGACTTTTGGCTTACTAGGAAAAAAGCGATGGTAGAAACATACCTCAGCTAGGGCTGGGTTTTGAAATCAGCTGAGGTAAAATAACAGCTTTTATCCTATTAAATAATGTATTGTAACACTGACTGTAAACATTGCAGGTCGGTGTGAGGTGTTTTGTGCCGCCACTCCGCCGCCATGACACCTGCAGGCAACTTCCAACCAGAGATTAAGTACGTTCACATTATTCTTGTATTATATTGTTCTATGTAAAAAAAATACAAAGTGTAGTTTTTAGGAAACTTTTAAATGCATCCTTTCACCTGCACAGGAGGCTTGTGCACGTGTCTTTAAACGGTTGCCTTATTTTTTTTTTTTTTTTGTCTTCCAAGGTTTTCGTTTATAACTTGTGAACGTTAGTGTACCGTAACTAGAGAAATATTCATGTAGCTATAGGTATGTGTCAGTGCCCTCTGGACATTGTTATATAGACTATTCTTGATTTGGGTTTCCAAGGTCCACAAGAGAAAGCCTCATCTGATTGGCTTCAAACTTTCACAAGGTGTTAATTTTAATTTTAAAATTATAGATTAATTTTTCCTTGAAATTTCTTCATTATGTCTCATTTGAATGGCTTCCGCCCTTAGTGACGGATGTTTCACATGAAAAGGATGACTGCCAATATTGGCATGACTGCCAATATTCTTACACAATTACAATATAAAAGTTGGATTCCGTGCAATACCTGAGACTGCTTGTTGTGGTCGGCTTCAAATATTTAGCTCTGGAAGGTTCACATTGTAACTGGGCTGCGTAAGTTACATTTTCTCATTTTTATTAAACAAGTTATTGACTTCCATTCAACAACTGGAGAATGACTCCAAGTCAATGGTCATGTCACGACATCAAAACAAAAACAGACAGATGTACTAATAGGATTTTTTCTACTCGCCCACAGGATTTGCAGCCCAGAATTCGAGGAATTTAACCGTATCAAGATACTGTCTTAAAATTATAATAATTCTACATTATTTATACAAGATTGCAGGAGGAAAATCACAAAAATACTCAACATACCGAAAACCGAGAACAACGTTGATACTCGAATTTTCTCACAGTTAACGTATTTATCAATATCACAAGATTACTGAATTATGACGACGACCAAGTATCAGTTATCATTTCATCCATTACAGGGACTTACAAGGCATACATAAACACTACCTCACATTTTTAAGAAAAACGGCTTGTGGAAAGTTGTGATAAAAAATGTTGGGGAAACAACCAGAAATCTGTTATCACGCATCAGCGAACAAAAATATGCTTCCAGAATATTTATATATATTTTTATCCTGGGGAAGCGATAAACTTGTAGGGGTCATGCAGCACTTGAGAGTCATTCAGGTTAGGTCTAGGGAAGGGCAAGGTAAGTCCGGTTTAAACCATACCCCCGGCCGGGATTGAACCCGCGGTCATAGAGTCTCAAAACTCCAGTCCGGTTTCTTGGCTCAAGAACACTTCTTCGGTGTTTCTAGGATACACATTTTGAATAACACTTGTGTTGCAGATCATAACTCGGACAACCAATATAATGGACAGAGGACAGACTACTAATTAAAGATTTAAGAGAAAGTATTTGAAAACTCTCGGCGTAACTTCTATCACTGACGTTCAAAACGAAGGAAGTTTTCATTGTTTGAAAGCCAAGCTTCTGTTAGTACAGTTACTGAATATAATATATCGTCTTGACCACCCATCATATTAAATCTTTCTCTCATTATGGCACCTCATCGTCATACCTATCTTCGTTCTTCCGCCTATTATGCTCTTCCTGGGTATATCTCTATTGACTTCAAAAGCCTACTGTACCGATGTAACGCTTTCTTTAATAGTTTCCAAAAACTGCGCCTTGTGTCTCTATATATATAACGTCTGTCGATATTCATTTACTGTCATAGTCTGTCACACTGTAACTTTCAAAATAGAGGACACTTCGGAGAAGATGGACGGGAAGGTAGGGAGGGCGTATATACCAAGTTTCGTTGCATTAATGTTTTATATATATACTGTACCGTACGTCATTTTTCACCATCAGAAGCAAACAACCACCAAGAACGTAAACAACCACATGATGAAGATTGAGACACTTATGCAGAATATGGGAATCTTTATTCAGGAAACGTTTCGCCACACAGTGGCTTCATCAGTCCAATACAAAGAGGAAGGCGTAAGGAGAGGAGGAGTATGAGGTAATCAGTCCCTCAACCTGGAGTCGATGTGTTCAGTCCATCAATCTTGTAGAATGTACAGCATAGGGCCGTAGACGTGGCTTATATACTGTAGTGAGGTGAGGTGAAGCAGGTGGAGGCGGGGTCATAGTGGTACCATCCACTAGTCGAAGTAGGTCTTCGTCCAAAGGTTGAACAAGTGTTGAAGAATTCTTTGTAAAAAGATCCCATGATGCTGCAGTGTCTGACAGTTGTGATGAATGGTTTGAAAAACCTACTTCGACTAGTGGATGGTACCACTATGACCCCGCCTCCACCTGCTTCACCTCACCTCACTACAGTATATAAGCCACGTCTACGGCCCTATGCTGTGCATTCTACAAGATTGATGGACTGAACACATCGACTCCAGGTTGAGGGACTGATTACCTCATACTCCTCTCCTTACGCCTTCCTCTTTGTATTGGACTGATGAAGCCACTGTGTGGCGAAACGTTTCTTGAATAAAGATTCCCATATGCTGCATAAGTGTCTCAATCTTCAACTTGTCGGTTTTTCAAGCCATTCATCACAAACAACCACATGCTGACTCTGGCTAGCTGACTTGGTGTTCAACAACGTAACCACATGCTGACGCTGGCTAGCTAACTTGGTGTTCAACAACGTAAACAACCACATGCTGACTCTGGCTAGGTAACTTGGTGTTCAACAACGTAAACAACAATAACATGCTGACTGAATATAGTACAGATACATGAACGACAAGATACGAAATTAAGATGTGGGCCTTTGCGCTCATGACCGTAATCAACACTATTCTGAAAATGGGATTTCTGCGTCGGTCTTGGTAATGTGTAGACGTCTGGCTCTGCTCTTGCCCTCACCATGTTACTAATATGCACCAGGAAGCTTGTATGATTATTTAATTGGTTATGCTTGTCAAGCTGGAAGACTTTATAAAGTGACCACTGAACCCTGACTCATGCGAATCAGGGTTCATACAAGTAATACAAGTAATTCAGTGATCACATTGATACCGGTCATTCTTATTGAATAATTTGTTCAATATCTAATTGACAACGTGGTTCAGTTGGTAGCGCCCTCAGCTCACATACCGAAGGTCCAGGGCTCGATCCCCGGCAGTAAGTGGGGTACCTGGGCTTAAGTGTGCCTTAGATATGGCTTGACTTTGAAATGAACCCAGGTAGGATAACAGCTCTTTCAAGGCTGTATGACCCTTGTGGGTTTAGCTCTTAGTTTTGATTGTAGTAGTATAAAGTAATAATAATAGCTCTTAGCCTGTAAATTATACTGTGTATACAATTCACAGCACTGTGAACCATTCAAGAGGGTGCCGTAATGCGAGAGGGCTCTTGATCCAAAGAATTGGATCTAACCCCCACCATTTTCGAATCTCATTACGTCCCATACCCGATTATACCACAAATGTATTACTTATGGGTTTAGCCCTTCTGTGAATTTAATAATAACTATAATTGTGGTGGACGCTTGTATACTTTTTTTATTCGGGAATACATATAATAATAATAATAATATTATTATTATTATTATTATTATTATTATTATTATTATTAGTATTATTGTTATTCACAGGGAAGATCTACATTAATACAGCGCCTGGGAGATAAAAGATTTTATTCAAGATCTTGTGATATATTTGTAAGTGAGAGTTTGTGCGCAGGTTCCGCTGGTGTCGGACAGTGGGTTGTCGGTCTCAGCAGGTGTGGCTAGTGCTGACTTCAGTAACAGGGACGCGAGTGTGTCTTACTTGGCAGCCTCAGCTGGGCTGGTACGAAGCCTCACCTACACCCATACCTTGCGGCCTCCACACCGGCTTCATACTCATCCAAGACAAGGTTTGTCGTCTTCGTACCTCGAGTTTTTTTTTATATCGTTCCCAAGTTTTATACTTCCAGCATTGTACTCTCTTATGTTACAGGCTTTTTAAATAGAGTCTGAGCTGATCAGTGGTAGACTACTCGCAAATGAAAGGACCCGGATTCATTTACCAAGCTAGACGAGACGTGATGGCAAATCTCCTTACACTTATTGGCCTGTGCACCTGGTCAGAAGTTAGTCAGCTGTTGTGGATGGCATCTCAGGGTGTGGTAGTATACCTCATATAGAGCTGGGATTTTAATTTCTCCGCGGTAGGACAGCGACTCATATCCTGTCAGTGGAACTCTATTAAAAAAATCTAAAGCTTTTCATTTGCGAAATGGTAACAGAACATAATGCGAATTACCTATTAGTACCTACATGAGCTCATAGTATTCCATCATCATTGTTTAATCTATTATATTTTTAATTTCCAGTGGTTGTAGCACTTTCTATACCTCCCTATTTCTTTATCTAATTCCGTTTTCTACCGCAACGAAGTAAAATTTTCTAATATCTCTTAGGCACCGCTGGATATAAAATTTTGTACTCAAACAGCAAATTGGAATACAGTAACTGCCCAGGGAGGTACTGCTTATTTGTCAAATGTGTGGATTGGAAACCTGTTTTTTTTTCACTTGGGAAGGACTGCTGAATTTTATGTCTCATGAATATGTAAGATGACAGGTAAATCTTACAAACTTCTACTAACATTTAGTATACACATATCTTTACTTTCCTGTGTGTTTCTTAATAGTTCTTTACCCTGTAATGCTGCCTTTCTAACTTATCTGTCTTGGTCTGAGACCAGACTGGGGATGATCCCCAAGAACCATTAACAGAAATATAAAGCCTTGGTGAATCCATCTTGTTTCTCAGGTGCGTGACGCGATCAGCGGGAGCCTACGGGTCCGGGAGAGGGACTACAAGGTGGACCCATTCCACATCGTGCCACATAAGTTCGCCGTGGAATTGTTCTTGCAGTCAGATCAAACGTCTCCCTTCTGGAGTGACGTGCCTGAGCTGCGTCGGCGTTACCTCAGTTCGGATCATTTGGAGAGGCTTGCCACCTCCAGTCACAAGGATTCTCTCTCTTATCATCAATTTAGAGGCCTCGGCGGCCGTAAATGGGTTTCTTCTACGTCACTTACTTACACTGAAGAGGTGACATCTTCAAACATTCCAAAGAATTTAGCTAGAGGAGATGGCAGGAGCAGAGCTCATCCCAGAGGTTTAACTCGAGGCAGATCTCACAGTCAACTCCGGGCATCATCCACGTCATTTGATAACCTCAAAGACCAAGGAGCAACATCGATTTCATCGCCAAATCTCTCACGTGCTTTTCAAGTGGCTGTTGATCTCTCACGTGCTAGTTCTAAGTTCCTGGCTGGATTGTCTTCGACGAGCAGCGGCGTATGTCTTGGCTTCGAGGATGGCAGTGAGCCTCCTTCTCCAGATAATAAAGACACTCCAAACAACAACAGCCCTTACGCAGCTGGAGGAGAAACTTCAGCCGACTCCGAAGACGCCGCTGGTGAAGGTGCCAGACGCAAGAAAGCTTTGTATAGTTCTCGAGATCGATCTCTTCACATTGAGGACTTAACTGGAGAAGAAGCCTGGGGACAAAGAAGGGAAGGAGTAGCCAAGAGCTTCGATGGGTCAAATGCTTCCAGCACTTCATATGAGGATCTACTTGCCAACATTTCATCAAGAAGAGCAACTTTTAAGACTGAGCTGAACCTCTTGCGATTCGACACCTTAGCACAGGAACGCTTGGTGAAAGAAATATTAGCTCCATCAGACTCTGATTTTGAAGACGAAGAAGGGGCATGTGAAGTTAGTGATTCTGACTTCGCGGGTCATTACGGGTGTGTTATCACATTTGAGAGTCGCAGCTCCAGTATGGATGATGTCGGGTCTCCCAGAGCACTGGAGGACGTGCTCGTATCATTAACGTCCAACGACAGCCACCCTGAGGTTACATTTGAGCCATCACAATCCAGAACACATTCTTCAGATATGGAGAATGACTCTGAGTTCAACCTTGGAACACCCAGCAGCTCTGAAAGGAGACAGTCTGAGCCTAAACCTGGAACAGCTGTTACCAGGTCGTGCTTAGTACCTTCAAGTTTTGAAAATAAAATATTAATGCCAGCGCCTCCAATAGTGAATATAACTCCAGTGTCTGATACGCTACTGAGTGATGAGCCTCGTGATGCAAGACTTAGCACTTCCCAGGACAGCTCTCCAGGGCATGATGACTCTTTCGAGGGTGAAGACCATCAAGCCATGTCTGAGGAAGAAGTAAATGAAAATGAAGTAGGACCCGGCACATCGCATCTGGGGGAAAATGTTACTTCAACCAGCGGGACAAGTGACCCACCTGTCACTCCTGACATTGCGGAGGATGATAACTTCCAGTACGAGTCTTTGAAGCATGAGGATGAACACTTCCCAATAGACATCAGGAACATTGACAGTGAAGACTCGATGGAAGGTGTTGTATCTAAAACTCATGTTCGTTATGATGTAGAAGAGAAGGAAGCTTGTAGCAGATCAGAAGGCGATGATGATGACAGAGAAAGCGGCTTGTACGAGATAACGGAGCCACAACCCACTACTTCACTGGATGGTGAAGTGCCTACAGATTCTCTTAGTCTAGTACCACTGGAGGACAGCCAGAAAGCCACCGTGAGAGAAGCCAAAGAATTCAGTGAAGCACAAACGTTCAAGAAAGTATCCAGCGATGAAGGTGATGTGCCAAAGAGTAGCGAAGAGCCGACAGTACAGTTGCATGAAAGTGAATCCACTTCAGGTGTAATGAAACCCAGAGAAATAAATAGCAATGAAAATGCCGAAGCTACCTGTAGTACAGCTAGTGTCCCAGGAAAAACTTTAGAAAACAGTGGCACAGGCATAACTTACGAAGTTGGTGAGAGAATCAGAACTTTAGACGATGATAGTGATCATGGCAGAATTTTTGACAATGGAACTTATGAAAAAGGTAACGACAAAGCTTATGACAGTGAAAGTTATGAAAGTGGTGACAAAGGCAGAACTTTAGAAAGTACAACTCATAATGATAACAGAGGCAAAAATTTAGATATTAGAAACATTGAAGGTGACAGAAATAGAAAGTCATATGATAAAACTTATAGAAGTGATGACAGAGGTAGAACTTTAAATGTTAGAACATATGAAAATGGTGACAGAGGCAGAACTTACAAAGATGGTGATAGAAGCAGTGTGCTGATGCGTGATGAAAAAGGCGTAAGTTTTGATGTCGATCAAAAGAGAACGTTTCCTTGTACTGGTGGCAGAACTTTGACAGGCAGCGGTGACGTAGGTAAGCCAGATGTTTCTGGCAGTCTTTCTTCTAAAAAGTACAGAGACTATGATAGAGAGAGGAACTTGAAGGCTACTGCAGGTGGGAACACTGGGAAGCAGGACCCATCTACTGCAGAGACCAGTAGCCACCACCTACAGGAGAGAGATGCGGAAAATCATGAGTTGCATCAATTTGATCAATTTGTACGACTTCAGGACGCCGGCACACAAACAAGGCAGACAAGACGGGCGTCGAAAATGACATCAACACGGATGCATAAATTCAACAAGAGTGAGGATATTACCACGCCATCAGCAACTAAGTACAGCCGCTCTCCCCTACGCAGTGTACAGACAGAATCTTACGTGGCTCTACCAGACCGACTGAGTGGTCCATGGTCTCAGAGACTTGCCAGGGGCTCCAATGCTCCACCAGTGTCCCCTGGCAAGCCTGACCTGGCCGCCCTACAAAGGAACCTTTACAACCTGGTGCAGGGACACGAGAACGCGGTGTATCTCAGGCAACTACAGAATGGGTTGCAACAGCAAACACACTACGCTCCACGGCTGGCTCACTTATCTTCTGCATCAGACCCATCACACCACCATCAGTCTGTTGGGAAACATCACCACAGCCAACACCAGTCTCCCATTAAGCACCTCCATTCTCCTGTACATCGCCACCACGAGCCTCCTGTGCATCACCACCACGAGTCTCCTGCGCTTCATCATCACCAATCTCCGGTGAAACATCACCAGTCTCCCACGCATCACCACCACCAATCTCTCCCCATGAAGCATCACCATTACCAGTCTCCCATCCACCATTACCACCATTCGCCAAACCACCAGCAACCTCTCCCATCTGTTCCTCAGACCAGCACACCCATTCAGTACAAGTATCCAGTGATGAACTCTTCCATCGTGCAGTCATCCTCTTCCCTGGCTTACTTCGCCACTCGATCTTCTACGACCTCGCGTGACCTGCTAGGCAACAGGTCAAGTGGGGTCAACTACGGCGGCAGTGCCAGTGACCTCAGCAGACACCACCACGCAAGCACTTTCATCAACCACGGGGGTAAGTAGCCCGTGATTTTATCTTAAAAAATCATTAGTTTTTTTTTTTTTTTTTTTTTTTTTTTAGTTAGCAGGATTGTATACATCAGCAGTGATACTGTCCTGTTTTAAATAATAGTTGCACAGTGGGGACAAAAAGTAGCTGTTTCCCTGTCATATTCCATCACGCAGGAATATGAAAGCTGAAAGTCTTTAAATCTTTCGGCCTTCATATCGTCAAGTATTCCATTACAGGTTCTTGTGACTAGTTGTGGCGGAGGATAGTGTGTAGCCCGTCCTCCTACACACCAGCATCAGGTTTCCAATAACTTAAGCCACATGTTTACTCGCCGTTGTTGCTATGAGTGAATAGCTTCGTTCATTATATATTTGTTCATTGTGTCTCGTAACAGGCCTTTAGTTTCCAACGTACTCCCATACTACAGAGTATCGTACGCATTTACACGACTGCTGTTATCACACGATAACATTCCAGTTATATATTTTGTTAGTTTGTTTTCTTTATACAGGAAAAGGTCTTTGATGTTCATCATACCTGTATGTTACGTGTTCACTCCAGTTACCACGAAGTAACTTACTAGGTTGCTGGAACTTGCTAGGTTGCTGGAACAGAGGCGGATGTAGGGAAAGGGGGTAAAAGGGCCAGGACATCCCCTCTGAACCACTCGTTTTGATTATCATTGAGTAATTAGTCATTAAATTATTACTGTTACTATAAAAAAGGCATTATTTCTTGACCTTTAAAACTCAAGAATTCATTTTTAAAGAATCGTTCCTCCGGCGGGCTGACCTCCCCACAGTACAGGCAAGGATGTCTTGTCTCTCAACAGTTCCTGGATCCATCCCTGGGCTTTAACTGATTCATTAATATGGAGAACTTAAAGATAGAGGATGCAAAAGCGGCCGGATAATCTAGTGTAATGCTTAAACCGGGCTGAAATCCATGGGCTGTAACTAACGGAAAATGAGTGTTATGATCATACTGTCAAGTAATTTATAGCTCTCACGGTGGTGACGCATAGATCTCATCATTTATTCATCACAGGCTATCCTGCCTCCCTTCTTTTCCGTGCACAAAACTGTGCACGCAGAGGAACATAACTGAATTACGGGGTGTATATACTCAGAGGTGAAGAAGAATTTATTCGGATTTTTTAACCCAGAGGGTTAGTAACCCGAGACGCCTCGAGAAGCCAGTGTAGCTTATTTCCATTGGGGTCTTAAGGTGCTCTTCCTCAGGATGTGACCTACAATAGTCGGTTAACACCAAGGTACCAATGGAACAGATGCAACAGGTACAACCACTATACAGCGTACACCGATTAATGCTTGAATATATGCTATATGAAGTTGCTGATCTTCCTCTTACGATTAGATTACATGATTTACCGAACATGACGAGTTTCACCAGGATCCAGCCTATGCAAGGATATTCATTTTTTTTCATTTGTCTTTATCTGTGTCGTTTGCATGATCCCTCGTTGAAATTTCTGTAGAAGACCTCTCGAATCAATATACCTGACAATGGCCTCAATGACATCTGTTTTAGTAGCGTATTGTGTGTGCCTCGGTGTTTGTTCCACCCTACTCTCATTCTCTCTTTCTCTCTCTCTTCTTTCTATCTCTCTCTCTGCTTCTCGTTTATAATATATGAATCTAATTGTTCCACCAATATTAGCAAATGGAAGCCTTTGCGTGTAATTAGGTCGATAGATGTGACGATTATGGTAATGGTCAGTTGGGTCGTAAGTGGAGAGAGAGCAGTTAATTGTTGGTTTAGTAATATCTGTGGTAAATGTCAATCACTGTAATACTGAATACTTGTGTAGGAGCTGAAAGAACATGTCAGTGTGTGTGTGTGTTTCGTATGTGTGCGTGTTCACCTAATTGTGATTGCAGGGGTCGAGTCTCAGCTCCTGGCGTCTGTCGGTCGTGTCCTGGTCTATATTAGTGTATAAGTGTCTGTTTTGCGTGCATGTGTGAGTCTTCTCTCATGCACACGTGTGCTTCCATGCCTGCCTGTGTGCATAAACTTGTTATCGTTGTTTCCCTGTCCCACCTTAAGCCGGCGAGGTAGGGAGGTCAAGTTTGACAGGACCTATATAAATGGAAATTGCAATTATATCGATGACTGTTGTCTCTCGTTGTAGTCTCTTCGTTGCCTCATACGTGTTGTTCTCGGTGTTTCTGGCATGCCCTCTTCAAACTCGCAAAGAAGAAGTATCGTCAATTTTCGAGGTGGGTGGGGGCACATGCGTGAGTAGGGGAAGACGAACAACGATATTGTGCGTCCCCTACCCTACCTTCCCCCATTCCATGCTCCTGACACAGGTGGTGTTTACTGATAGTATCACAAGAGGAAGTGGGGGAGGGGAATGGTGGGGTCAGACTCCCCAACACTCTTATATCTCTAACATCTCCTCCCACGATCAATACCCCACCTGCCACCTCTTATTAGTCTATGTACTCTCAGGTCTAACTAGCTTCCTAAAGTTCCAGGTCCTCTAGTAGACTCGTAGCTAAGCGGTAGCGACATGGACACGGGATTTGATCCTAGAGCGGGTACAGACATCGGGCATGTTTAAATTACACCTGTTGCTCCTGTTCACCTAGCAGTAAATAGGTACCTGGGTACTAGCCGACCATTGTGGGTGGCATCCTTGGGGATAATGGGGTAGTTATCTTAGATAGGAAGAATAACAGCCTCTAAATTCAACTGTAAGATATCCTAATGTGTTTCCAGGATTTAAATCCTTACAGATCCTACTGCTTTAGGAGCCTATTTGATCCCTCCCGGTCCTAGGATACTCTAGGCCCTTTATGTTTTCCCGGTAACAAATCCAAATTCAATAAAAGACTGGTGTGGGCAGTCAACCAGAAGTCACAGTAGTTAATGCTGGAAAAAAAAAATGTGATTTGCAACTTCTCTACGACCTAGCTCCGCCCTCCTCATGCATCTCTTTGTTTCCTGGACCTCCTACATCTCTTTGTTTCTCTGACCACCTCAAACCCCCTTTCGTTATTTTCCAGACCTTATCCCTTGCACCTCTCGTTTCCCAGATCTTTTTGCCTCCTTTTGTTTCCTAGACCAATTACACCTTTCTTTAATGGATCCCTTTGTACTTCTTTTTTTTTCTAGACCACTTACGCCTGTTTTCTAGACCACTTACACCTCTTTGTTTAATAGATCCCCCTCGTAACTTTTCTAGACCACTTACACCCCTTTGTTGAATAGATCCCCTTCTGCCTGTTTCCTAAACCACTTACACCTCTTTCTTTAATAGATTCCCTTGTACCTCTTTCCTAGACCACTTACACCTCTTTGTTTGTTACCCGTAGCATCCTTGCTTCCCAGACGTCATACCCTCCGCCTCTTTGTCTCTCCTCACCGGAACACTAAAGGTTAAGTCACATGACATGTTCTCGTGATCTGGAAATTCTCTCCTGGGTCGAACATGTAAGAATAAAGACATTCAAACGTATGACATTTATTACACGTTTTGCCTGCTGGGAACTTATCAATACAGTAGAGAACAGAGAAATAGAATGTAGTTTATTCTCTATATTTAACCAATAGCCGAAACCTGCAATAAATGTCGTGAGTGTTGCATGCCTGAAGGATGTTTTGGGACCGGGCCGCGGGGTCGTTGACTAACGACCCCGCGGCCCGGTCCCAAACCAGGTCTCCTGGTGGCTCAAGGCCTGATCAATCAGGATGTTACTGCAATCAGACATGCGAACCACAGCCTGGCTGATCCGGAAGTACCATGAGTCGGTTGGTAATTTCCGTTGTTCGAAGGAAGGCTGTTGAAAAGTATTGAGCCCCATTACACTTACTGTGTTATGTTTTAGTGGACTCATGGTACCCCTCCTTTCATACTCTTGCTTTCGTAGGGAGTGATTTCTGTGTGCATATTTGGGACCAGTTCTTTCAGGATTTTCCAGGTGTAAATTATGATGTATTTTTCTCGCCTTCATTCTAATGAGTACAGATCAAGGGACTTTCAATGTTCCCAGTAATTTAAGTGCTTGACTGAATTTATGCGTATAGTGAAGGTTCTCTGCACATTCTCTAGGTCTGCAATTTCGGCCGCGTTCAAGGGGGCTGTTAGTGTATAACTATATTCCAGCCTTACAGAGGACCATTATTGGCTGGGCACCTCTTGGATGTCTCTTTATTCCGCAGTTTGTGGAATTTTGTGAATGTATGAGTGGCATTGCTGGAGACAGCTGGGTTTCTCTTGTATGGGCCAGTAGGCCCATACAAGAAGCACTAAACCCGTAGGGGTCGTGCAGCGCTTGTAGAATGGGAAGTATTCACGTTTGATCCTAGAGGATGGGTATACCTGGAGGGGGTTTTGGAGGTGAGCGCCCCCCATGGCCCAGTTCGTGACCAGGCCTCGCGGTGGATCAGGGCCTGATCAACCAGGCTGTTACTGCTGGCCGCATGTAAACCGACGTACGAACCACATCCCGGCTGGTCAGGTACTGACAAAAGATGCCTGTCCAGTGCCATCTTGAAGAGTCAGGGGTCTATTGGTAATCCCCCTTATGTATACTGCGAGGCACTTGAACAATCTTGGGCCCCTGACACTTAGTGTTTTCTTAGCGTACTCGTGGGTAGCTAGAATTCCTTGATCCAGACATCACGTCCCCCTTCACAAGCACAAGTCAAAGACCTCAAACAACTTGCGCTGTTACTGAATTTTTCCCACCGGAAACTTGAATATTTGTATTAATAAATGGGTCGTGGAAAGATTAAGACTCACTTCAGGATTCTCTCCCAACGAATATTAAGGTAAATAATTTCTCTGACTGAAAAAGCCCTTGGCTGGCGAAACATCTGTTTAATGTCCTAATACCATTTTTGCCCTTTATTTGTATATATCCATTTACAGCTTACCTCTGCCACTTCTTCCTCCTTTCCATTTCCTCTTCCCGACCCACCTTCTGGTCTTCTCTGGTTTTTGTAGATCAGCTGTGACTTAATCATAGGTCAGC